AGCACATGATGTAGACATTATTGTTAAAAAAAAACAAACATGTATTCTTTCAAAATGATTTAATCTAAAAGCCAATCAAAACACTATTGTAATGTGAATGAAACCTTTAGAAAATGTGAAGCTTGTATTGTTCATATGAATTATTAACAGTGGCTTTAACAAACTTCAAAGCTTCACTTATTTTTCCTCATCCTACACTGACAATGTATAAATATTAGCACATGTAAGAATATGGAGAATCTTGAGGCTTTTAAATGAACATTACCATCATTAAGCTGGCATTTGATGTTGGGAGGAAGTTCCCAGGGCGTTCTTCAGCTACTCTGTGGCTTGATTTGTTCACTGATTGATATTATGTATGACTTTCTGCCATACACAAGAGTATTGTTGGTCAACGTGTTGAAGAGACACACTGTTAAAAGCATGTTTGTTCATCCCTTGAGCTTGGCAGAAATACTTTTATGCTCTTATAAAAACCATATGGATGTTTTAGCACCTCTTAGAGATACAGCTGTGTTATAAAGACGTGGATGTGGGTGCTTAATTCATTTAACTTTAGCAATTTGCCATCAATTTGTTTGAACTAGATAAAGGTCTATTCCGCTTATAAAAGTCTGCTACGTAAATAGCGAATGCAATTGCACGACCACAACATGCTCTTAAAGGGAATGGGAGACAGCACTCTAATTGGTTTAATGCACGTTATGGCAAAAACACACCCATAACTCGTTAAGAAAATAAGTACAACCATTTTAAACCACGCACTGGGCGCGCCAACCATTTTATTCTGTCCCTTATATAGCAAAAAATGAATTTGGACAAGCCAAAAATGCACTTGCACCTAGATCAAGTGCTTAGATCATAAAAATAGAGTGCTTTATGTATAAGTTTGGATGTTTTAAATATTTAGGAACACTTACTGATGGTAAATTGACATTTGCTGGAAATGTAGACTGTATTTTTAAAAAAGCAATGCAGAGATTGGATTATATTTGGAGGTTACAACAATTTGGTGTCAACATGTTTTGGGGATAGTGTATGAGAATTTCAACCGAGGCTCATTCTGAAAACGTAGTCCCGTGGATGTTTCTGTAGACCGCGAAATACGTCCCGGGAGCTACATATGGCTGCATTTAATTTTTTTAAGTGAACGCTACGGGGTGGTATGACGCTGTTCCCTTTCACGCTTACCAGCTGACCGATTACCTCCGTGTGGAGGGCTTTCCCGCCGCAACCAGTTTGTCCAGTCAGCTCATCGTGATTGTTGGCAGAGAGGAGGAGTTGACCACGGCAACCAGGTTCGAGTCCGGGAAAGAGCGGTTCCAGAAATCAGGTAAAAACAGAATCCTAAAAATAAAGTGAACGAGTTCATAACAGGGTGAGAACGTGGGGAAATCCGAAAACGTGGTAAAGAAATCAGACAAGGGGTTTTCTTTTTATAGACGTTTTTTAAATTGTTGCTTGGGTTTAGGGAAATGAGCGGGCGGGCGGGTCAATTGGTAAAATTAGTTGGGTTTAGGGAGGGAGGAGGCTGGGTCAGCCGATTGGCCGGTCGCACAGTCAATCATTCAGTCAGTCAGACAGCGGCCTCTGGTGGGTTCACGCGAGAACATCGCTGGCGCGAACGGCACTCGCAAGAGTCATTCGAGATACGAAAAAGTGCACACAGCGGCCTCTCGCAGATTCGCGAAAAAAAACAACTGCAAAAATACGTACCTCCCGGCACGTATTTCACGGTCTCCAGAAACGTCCACGGGACTACGTTTTCAGAATGAGACTGGGTTGAAGAATTTGGTCTAAAGTGTTAACAGGATTAAGTGGTATGGAGTATGGCCAGTTATAGAAAAGCAAAGTAGTAGAGTAGTAAAAATTGCAACCCTGCCTCATTATGGATATGTACCCCTGCAAACATTTCTGGAGAATGTGAAATATGTCCCAGGAGCTACATATTTTTTACAGTTTTTGTTTTGTGAATCCACCAGTGGCTGCTGTATACACTTTTTCAGATCTTAAATTTCTCTTGTGAGCGCCATTCATGCCTGCTTTTCTCACGTAAATCCACTAGAGGCTGCTGTTGACTGACTGATTGACCAACCAATATATACCCCCACCCACCCCCTTCCCTAAACCCAACCAACAGAATTTTCAGAAGCAATACAAAAAAAAAAGCCCTCACGACTGCCTGATTTTTTTACCATGTTTTCAAACCCTGTCATGTTCTCATCCTGTTATTTACTTAATTTTTTTATTTACATCTTGTTTATATTATTTTTTGCCTTTTGTTTTTGTTTTACCTGCATTCTGTAACCATTTTTCGCCGGACTCGAACCCCATCATTGCGTTCAACTCCTCTCTGCGTCTCAAGTCTGCTGATGTACGCGGCGAGCAACAGGATAAATTAGTAACAGCAAAAAAAAAAACGTTCACATGGAGGTGAGCGGTCAGCTGGTAGCACGAAAAGAAACAGATGCCATCAGTGGCATCATTCCATCATAGCATTTGTTTTAAAGACATACGTAGCTCTGGCTACATAATTCAGGCTCCCCAGAAATGTATACAGGGGTACGTTTCACAATAAGCCTGTGTTGAAAAAATTGATTGTAGGTAAACCAAAGAAGACAACTAAATGAAATCCATCTAATGAGAAACAGAAAGCAGATACACCACCAGCGGCAGCTTTGGTTGCACACAGAAGTAAAGAGATCCACAAATTAGTATTTTTTTGTCATTATTACAAATTTTTACAACAACAAGCACACTTTTAATACATTAATAACCGCGTGTTTTACCATCATGCTTTAACCAGTTAAACTCTGCTGCTATTTGGGGATTTCCGCCTGGATTTTGCCTACCCAAATTTAAAAGCTTCCCAAATCCACATGCAGAGGTGTAAATGCAAAAATTTGGTATCATTTTAAAGAAAACCCTTTGAATTTTCATAAAACACTATTGAAAGGGTTTTAAATAACTGTATATGTCGTTTGTGTTATAATAAACACCTAAAAAAGAGGCGTTTTTTTTTTTTATAAACTCAAATTTGAAAGTGTACCTTTTAGGTTCTGTGTGGTCTAGTGTTCTGTAATTAATGTTGGTGGTTCCTGCACACGTCTATAATCATAGGAAAAAATAAAAATGTCTCCACCATAATCTATGCAAAAGTTATTGTATTTTAACTGATGAGAGGTGCTGTACAAGCCACAGAGACCGATCCTTGTTTACATATTTCACTATTCTTTTGTTTGATCAAACATAATTCTCTGTGTTTGGACCACATCAGACATATAAAAGGATTACTTATGCACATAACCTCAAAAACAGAGGAGAATGGCCCTGAAGCGCACAGCATAAGGTAAGAGATGACAGCTGTCTGTGCTATCTGGGGCTGCTTATTGATCATAAATGTATTGTTTACATTTCTGCGTCATGGAAACACCACGATTCATTCAACAACTGTTTGGCATATGAATATAATTCAGTAAAAAGAATGCTAGACCTGTATGAGCACCGGCAAGAGCTTTCATTTGAGCTATAACTTGTACATGTGTCATATGAAAAATATGAAAATGAACCAATGTAAAATACCTAGCTCGGGTATCCAAAATACTGTGTATTTAAGTGTAAATAACTTTTATACAGTAGAATAAAAACCAAAGTGATGCATCTGTGCATTAAATTTAGATTCTACACTTTCAAACGACACCACTTACGGCGGTCTGGTGCAATGCTAGCCCTTTAAATCTTAAAGCGAATGTCGATGACGTCCAAGTGGTTAAAAATAAAACGCTTAAATAAAAAAAACGCTAAATTTCACTATCTATAATCCCTAATAATAACTCCTGTACAGCAGAATGTCACAACATTCTGACACTCGATGACACTGGAATACCCTATCAGAAAAGTCTAGTGGCTGTCAATGAGCTTTTTACAGTGTCTGTTATAATGTTAATGTTGTTTTTGGTGTGTTTACATAGATGAATATGGCCACTGTGTAAATGCACAGTAATGCTATAGAGTTGTAAATGCACAGTATACTATTCTTATTAACACATTATATCGTTATGATAACATGATATATGCCTTCAGTGATTTCCTCAAGATGAAAACCAAAAAATAATGCAACTGGAATAACTACAGCAGAAACAATCGTCTGATCTCACATGAAGACGTGTGCAGGTGTTGTAGTACTGTCCTATTTCTTAGTGGTAGATTTTGAAGCCCTTCCCCTTCAGGCTCTGTTTCAAGGGCCATGGGTAAGAGGAAGGAATACAAAAATAGAATTGGGATCGGGCCTAAAAGCGTACCGCACCAAAGCCCAACCAAAAGTGCTCCAGACCACCTATTTGGCCAGGACTGGCCAACTTAACCACGCCCAGGCATGATTCAGACTTGTTAAACCAGGGGTTCCCAAACTTTTCAGCACGCGACCCCTAAAATAACAATGCCAGTGACTCGCGACCCCCAATATCCTCTGACGTGGTTATAAATACAGAAAACTTGCATGCAACGGCGCACACACACACACCAATCGTCCAAAGTCTATTCTTCGTTTAATTTTTTTCATGTATGTCAGTGCTGTAAATGGGCCAGGAAGTGTAACCTGGTGTTATAAAATCAATCTGCTGCATCTGACGCTATTGCTGTCTTTAATATAATGTATTTACCCCAGGGGTCGCAATCCAATAGAACAAGTAAATAAGCTACTATAGTAACTATAAACGACTGTTTTTTTCTCTTCAGTTGGTTATGGATAAAATATGGTAATTCTTATGGCCTAATAATAATAATAAGTAGATTTTTGGAAATCACCAGGCGACCCCCCTTCATTGTTTCACGACCCCTCAAGGTGTCCCGACCCCCACTTTGAGAACCACTGTGTTAAACAATCTAGAAATGAGGTTTAAATACGCCTGGACACGGTTCGGACAGCCTAGTGTATGTACACCCTTGTTTTTACTGTCAGTTGATTCTATTGTCATTTCCTCAGACAGATCTGCATCAGGATGGCAGCATTTAACAACACTGGACCAACCAATGGCAGTAACGAGACTGACTGTGATTTACAGGATGACTTCAAGCACATTCTCCTCCCGGTGAGCTACAGTCTGGTGTTTGTGTTCGGTCTGGGATTGAACATCACCGCCATGTATTTCATCTTTTTTCGAACCAAACAGTGGAAGCCCAACACCATCTATATAATCAACCTCAGCATTTGTGACACGCTCTACATCCTCACCCTTCCGTTTCTCATCTACTACTACGCCGATGAGAGCGACTGGCCGTTTGGTGAAGCGATGTGTAAATTCATTCGCTTTCTCTTCTACACAAACCTCTACGGAAGCATCCTGTTCCTCAGCTGCATCAGCGTGCACAGATTCATAGGCGTCTGCCATCCGGTGCGGTCTTTGTCCTTGTTGAACACCCAATATGCTCGCTTGGTCTCGGTGGGAATATGGGTGATCATCCTCATCTTACAGGCCCCGATTCTGTTTTTCTCTAGGACAACACAAAAAAAGGACATTGTCTGTCATGACACCACCCGAGAAGATCTCTATGATGACTTCATGGTCTACAGCTCGGTGGTGATGTTTCTGCTCTTTGGCCTGCCGTTTGTGGTGGTGCTCTACTGCAATGCGATGATGGTGAAGAAACTCCTTGAACCTCGAGTTGGCGGAGGATCAACGTCACAGCGATCCAAGCAGAAGTCGGTGAAGATGATCATTTTAGTGCTTCTGACTTTCATCTTGTGCTTTCTTCCCTTCCATGTGAACCGCATTGTACACTACACCCTTCGCTATATGGACAGAAGCTGCGACCAGCTCCGTCTCTCCAACATCTACTACCAGGCCACGCGACCTCTGCTCAGCATTAACAGCTGCATTGACCCTATCCTCTACTTCATGGCAGGACAGAGCTTCAGAAACAACAGCACAAGATCAAACCCATCCTCGGAGAGATCCATCTCAACAGTTTAATGGAGGGAGGTGGCTGTTCTTGAATACACTACCTTGCTGCTGATCTAAGTTCTAGGAACAACAAATAATACCTTGACTTCTAGTTGATCATTTGCCATCAGAAGTGGCTTATATGAAAGGCAAAGGCCTCTAGATTACGCTTATTTTACCAAAACAATATAAGATCATGCCTTGATTTTTAATGATTGCATTAGGACAGTAAAGTCTGACTTTGCTTAGACAAAAGTCTTGTCACTGAACAGAAATAATGTCCAGTATAGAATATAAAGTCCTGCTGCAGTGGAGACAGAATGAATATTGTGTGTGGCTCCATCATGAGCTTGGAGGACTGCATCCATACATCTCTGCAATGACTCCAATCACTGATTAATGAAGTCATCTGGAATGGCAAAGAAAGTGTTCCTGCAGGACTCCCAGAGTTCATCAAGACTCTTTGGATTCATCTTCAATGCCTCCTCCTTCATCTCACCCCAGACATGCAAATTGCACCGCATATGGCTGAGCACTGCATGCTTTTTTGCAGCCAGGGCATGTTTGGGCAGCTCGTAAATGTGCTTTTTCACTACTTGTCAGCACAGACTGTGTGATTGTTCGACAATTGTTTGGGCCGGGACACCAAGCTGACACCAAAGAAGTAGACACCAAACCGATGAAAACCAAATGTGTTGTGGGCTTGCTTGGCACACATCTGGTCTTGTCAGGACCAAAAATCTGTCCATGAACACACCAATTGGATGGCAGCTAATGCCTAGTTCAGACTGCGTGATTTTAGCCCCGATTTTGGCTTACCGACAGATTTTGAGAAATCGCAGACAAATGCATGAAATCACATGCAAATCGGTGCTTGTGCACGTGAGTGACAATCACACAGTATGAACTATCAAAGACGCGATCTGAGAGAATCGCAGATGAGTCGCCGATGCCTGTGAGATATTTGGCGTGATGAATATCTGGAGCTGTCGGCGATTCAAATCATGCCGTGTGAATTGAGTTTTGACTAAAAATAACATCAGCGATCGCCTACAGCCAATGAGAGAGCGGCTTTCACTTGTGTGTGCGTGTGTGTATACCTGCTGCAGGCCAGCGGGAGGCTGGGGGAGAAGTTAAAAGCGCTCATTTTCGGTTTATTTGGACCCACGAAATGGAGGTAAAACTAGTGGAGGTTTGACAGGACTCAGAAGCAACCGTGTCTGTTTGACGTTTCATACAGAAAGAAATTAGTTTATTATCAATGTTGAGGAGAAATGGCTAATTCCCTTTAAACCCAGGTGAGCAAACATGTACATGTTCTACCCCATTAAAGGCTTCTTTCTCATTATGTAGTTAATAACAAAAGATATACGACGTGTTTTTGGCTGTGAGACGTAGTTTGGACGAAGTTGTCGCTGATTCTTCCTATAGTAAAGTCATGCAATGTAAATGTCCCTGTCGCCGATCCATCTTGCAGTGTAAACAAAGCAGCGACGAAATGATAGCCCAGATAGTCATGCAGTGTGAAAACATCTGTGACACGACTACTTTGAAAATCATGCAGTCTGAACTCGGCATAACTGAAATGAGAGTGCACGGTCTGCACTCAAGAATAACCCTACGAGGAGTGATCCGTGAAACACACCAAACCAACTAGCCAGACCGACGCTGACCAACAGCACATCAAAGCACAACAGCTTGGGTGTCGAGGCCCTTAAAGAAACTGAACAGATGAAACAACTGCTACAGACAGTACAATAATGACTTAATAACCACTATATATTGATATAATCTAATAAGCACTTAATGACTATATAAGGGTCACTTAAAGTAATTTTTCAAGTGCATGTTTGTTGAAAGCAACCTGTCTTCTAAACGTATAGGTCATTGGTCACTTTTTTAAAATACAACCCATAGCAGCAATTTATAAATTATCACACCAACTGCAAATAAGACAAAACAATGCAACAACTCTGCATTTGTGTAGCTTAATAGGTAAAGCTGTTTACTATAGTAGCACATGCACTGGCAAATGTGTACCTTAAACAGGCTGTTGTGCTGCATATCCTCTACTAAATGATTAATCTAAAACTGAAAAAAATATGGGTATGGAAACATCCATCTTTGGGGTATAGTGATCTTAATGATCTACAACAGGGGTCACCAATCTCGTTCCTGGAGGTCCGGTGCCCTGCAGGGTTAAGCTCCAACTTGCCTCAACACACCTGCCTGGGTGTTTCAAGTATACCTAGTACACCTTTGCTGCGTCCCAATTCGAATTCTTATACTACGCCCTAAAAGTATCCGGAAGACATCCGGGAGACATTTAAAATGGTGGACTCATAATAATAAATTAAGAAAGTTATCATCAATCACAATACAAATTACAGTGAACTCCAAGCCAACTCCCGTCTCCTCCGCTAGCTGTGGGAAAAGCCATTACAACGACACAGATTACTCTGCCTATTTATGCCAGAGTCCTGCCGAAAAAAGTGATTGACAGGTGGTCGTTTGTGTGTAACTTTATTAATTTTTGGTTTGGTTATGGGTAAAGCAAAGACCATGGTAGTAAAAACAGTAGGCTACAATTAATTAATTCGTTATGAATTAATTGATATTTAACAACCACCACCCCCACCTATGACGACGATGCCATCGTCCATCGCGATGTTTCACATTAGACATCGTACGATGCCAAACTGGTCAACATCGCCCAACCCTACTGCACGATTAATCAAATAAATATTGTGATCTCGATTTGACCCACTACATAATCTTAATATATCTTATATATATATATATATATATATATATATATATATATATATATATATATATATATATATATATATATATATAATGTATATATCTTACATATGTGCTCAGCAACGTGGACACCTCCAAATGGTGTTAAAAGAGTCAGATACCGTATTCATAATTATAAGCTATAATTCAATTTTAAGCAAAAACAAAACTATAACTCTCATTTTAGCCTATTATTAAAATACTCAGTAACACTTTATAATAACTACACACTATAAATCATTTATTAAGCATTAGCAAATACTGAACTCATTATCTGTTAAGCATTAACTCTACATTAATAAACGTTAGTAAGCAGTTTATAACTGCAGCTACAAATGCTCAATTCTTGACTAATAAGCACCTATATAATGTGTTTAATAATTGTATTTTCATACTTAGTTAATGATTTATTTTTCATTACTAAATTAAGTATCAAATTATTTACAAACTGTTTGTATTTAAGAGTAGTTGAGGGTCTTTACGATCATTCAGAATGAGTTAGTAAATGATTATTAAACTATTGAAACCAACATTTATATGTCTTATTAATCAGGCTTATATTAATAGTTACTATACATGTTAATAAATGCTTTATTAACTCAACTTCATGCAGTTCTGTGACCTAATTTAAAGTGAGGACTATTCATGCTTTATAAATCCCTTATAAATGACAAATAAAGGCTCAGTTAAATTCAAAACAGGAAAAAAGGACATTATTAATTTCTCTTCATTTAAAGATACACAAATGAAACTGTACTTCAAATTAAAAATAAATCTTTGCAACCTGATCTAAAATAGAATCACTGTAGAGTTTAAACATTGTTAAATGTTAAATTATTATATTGTTGTTGTTTTATCCAGTTGGATGTCATATTTTGACACTCCTGTTATTCAGCAATGTTTAAACTTTACAGTAATTTCACTTTTTAGAAAGATTGCACAGATTATCGTTCATTTGATTCTGAGCCTTTAAGTCATTTATAAAGCATGAACAGTCCTCACTTTAGATTAGGTCACAAAACTGCATGAAGTTGAGTTAATAAAGCATTTATTAACATATTAGTTAACTATTAGTACAGCCTGAATAATAAGACATATAAATGTTGATTTCAATAGTTTATTAATCATTTACTAACTCATTCTGAATGATCCTAAAAACCCTCAGCTACTCTTAAATACAAACAGTTTGTAAATAATTTGATACTTAATTTAGTAATGAAAAATAAATCATTAACTAAGTATGAAAATACAATTATTAAACACATTATATAGGTGCTTATAAGTCAAGAATAGAGCATTTGCAGCTGCAGTTATAAACTGCTTACTAACGTTTATTAATGTATAGTTAATGCTTAACAGATAATGAGTTCACTATTTGCTAATGCTTAATAAATGATTTATAGTGTGTAGTTATTATAAAGTGTTACCAAATACTCTTATTATAGATCCACTAAGCATCTAGTTTTTATTTTATTTATTTGCAAATTATGTTAGTTACTTGAAAGCACCAAACAAATTCAATTATAACCCCACTAGACCTTGCCCCTTTTTAATATCTCCAATGTTGCTACTAGACATAGCCCTTACTGATTGGCTGCAGATGTGTTTTCGGGTATCGCTCCAACACTGGGTTGAAAAAGGGCTTTCAAAAATTGTTAAATGCACCTTTAATATGGTCTGTAAACCAGGACTGTAACCACCATAGATATAATTAGAAATGCCCCATAACATTTGAAATGAATGCTGCTCAGCTTGTATTTATAATGACAAGACAACACTCATCAGTGTCAAATAGACTCCATGAGGACAGGGCTTATTATTTCATGAACCCAAACATGATGTTCAGAGTGACACTTAACAATGGTAAACATGCAGGTAAAAGTAAAAAAAAAAAAAGGTAGATGCGGAGCTAACATCATGTAGGCGCACTATACATTCATAACTATAATTACAATACACAGTGCTGTAATCCAGACTGATTTGGCTTTGATCTGACTGTCAACTTCTGGAGGTGGGTGGAGCTTAAGAAGGGCGTTCTGGAAACCTATCTCTATTGGAACTGATTGATAAACAATCTGAGTGACTGACTGATGCCCTGACCAATGAGGGCAAGCGGAGGTGTGTTTACATGGGAAGTACCGCCCACAATAAAGAAATGCAGCATGAACAGACAGAGGAAGAGCAGGATTGTGCAGGTATGAAGAGCGTGAGGGGACATTCCTGAAAATAACTGCCAAAAACACGTGAGTATGTGACTTATATTTTTCTAAATAAGTAGCTCACGTATATATTTTTTTAATTTATTGAATTGTGGGATGTATATTTCATTTTGCTATCAAGATTGAGTTCAATTTCGTGAAGATTCTTCTACTTGAACTGACTTAGAGTTAATGAATCATATACAACTCAAACGATTCATCCTAAAAGTACAGTCTATATGCATACTGCTGTATGTATGGGGTCTACAAATTTAAGACCACGAATCGTAAATCTTGACATCTTTGTTTACATTGAAAATATGAAAATAGTGTTGTGTTGAATATATAAACTGCTTGACTGGTGCATGTGTGCCTATACGCTGTGAATCTACATTTAATTAAGTTAGAAAAGACAAAATATCCATGTTTAATTCATAACTGTCTTGTTTAGCCTAAGTTTAGAATAAAAATACACTTTAAATATACTAAATGAAAAATTATTTTTAAATTTAGTGCATTTTCTGAATGACCAAGGTTGATTATTGTACACAAATCCAGGCATTATTCTAGTCTTTTAAAGTTATACGAAATATTCAGATGTTTTATCAGACTCCTGGCATTGAAGAGGTCGAACCTAACTACAGGATGCTTATAAAATGCTAATTTAAAACAGAAAATCTCAAACAGAAGTCTTTATGTAGACTTCATCTTATAGATTGAAAGTGTCTTGAGGCTTTTTGTGATATTAGCTGTTATCTGAACATCATTTGCCATTTGATGTTGAGAGGAAGTTCTCAGGAGATTTTAAGATACTTTGTGGCTTGATTGCTTGACTTCTGCTCTAATCTCTTATCAATCTAATGTGTTACTTTCTGGCATAACTGAGAGTGCTGTTGGTAGAGAGAGTTGGTTAGTCCATTTCTTTAAAAGCTCATTTGTTCGTCCCCTGAGTCTGACAGAAACATTATGAAGTTACTTTTTCTGCCCATTATAAACAGTGTTCCAGGAATATTTGTAGGTTATCATATGCATGACAGTATCAATATGGGTGTGTGGAGTTTGTAGATATTAACCACCTTTTAGAGAAAATGTGCATGATCTAGGAGATGAGACTGTCTCCACAGTGATAACTTGTTCCATTTAACTTTTTTAACATGACAAATGTTATTAATTATATATGACAAGAGTAATTATTTTTTCCTCAATTTCTGTTTAATGAAGAGAAGATTTTTTTAACTGGTTTCAAAACATAATAGTTTTAATAACTCATCTCTAATAACTGATTTATTTTATCTTTGCCATGATGACAGTAAATAATATTAGACTAGATATTTTTCAAGACACTTCTATACAGCTTAAAGAGACATTTAAAGGCTTAACTAGGTTAATTAGGTTAACTAGGCAGGTTAGGGTAATTAGGCAAGTTATTTTATAATGATGGTTTGTTCTGTTCTGTTCTAAACTCCAGCGCAGAGTTGCGCCTCGCTTACACACTGCTTAATACGCACAAGAGAGCAATAGGCAAATATCTTTACATATGAAAAAATTTAAATATTAAGGATATATATAGGATATAATAAGAATAGATATAGAATATAAATATAAATGATTAAAATATTACAAAACATATTATTTTCTACCCTACATAAATATGAAAAACCACTGCTTTTATGTCTTCTTCATCTCGGGAGGCTTTTTCAGTTCATTCATAACAATTTGCTTTTGTATACTGTTTTATTATTATTAGCAGTATTATTTATTATATGCATATTTATATTTGTTTTATTAAAAACAAGCTTAGATTTGCCCACCTGTCAGGTTTTATGCCATATGGGGCACAGCATGTGTTTTAGGACATAACTCAGGTTTTTCAGCACATTTTGTTATTATTGTTCATTTATTCGTTTGCTGGAAATTAGAACTGAATTTAGAAATAGTTTTGAAACGAATATTTGCGCTTAACAAATTAAATAAATTATTTATAGGCTAATGGATGTCTGTGCGTAAAGGTTTCCCTATCCACGAGCGAAAGTGATCCATTATCTCTCATTCTCACGCTGTAGATGCTCTGTTTAACTGTTTTCTGTAAAAAAATTGTTAACTGTTTGCTTGTGAAATGCTCAGTTTTTCCACTTAGATTTACTTTGCGTCCTGTAAATAGCGAATGCGCTCTTGGCGCGATGCAGCTGGCTCTTAAAGGGAATGGGAGATGAGACTCTGATTGGTTTATTCTTAAAACACACCTATAACTCATTAAGAAAATAAACTCAACCCTTTTAGACCATGCGCCATGGCGCAAAGCAGATTTTCCCGTCCTTAAATTAGCAAAAATGCGTTCTGACACGTCCTGAAAGCGTTTGCGCTCTGCGCTTTGCGCATGGACCGTCAAAATAGAGCCCTAAATTGGCCTGCATAAAACATATACTGGAATAGGTGGTTCATTCCACTTTGATAACCTCTGAAATAGAGACTAAGTGAAGGAAAATGAATGAATGATATGTTTTCTTTGTCTTAATCTCAGACAGATCTGGATCAGAATGGCAATGAACAACACCACTGTATCAACGAATGACATTGACATTTACCGTTGTACTTTAAAAGAAGACTTCAAGTACATTCTCCTCCCGGTGAGCTACAGTCTGGTGTTTGTGTTCGGTCTGGGATTGAACATCACCGCCATGTATTTCATCTTATTTCAAACCAAACACTGGAAGCCCAACACCATCTACATGATCAATCTCAACGCCTGTGACACGCTCTACATCCTCACCCTTCCGTTTCTCATCTACTACTACGCTGGTGCGAACGCATGGCCGTTTGGAGACCCGATGTGTAGATTCATTCGCTTTTTCTTCTACACAAACCTCTACGGAAGCATCCTGTTCCTCAGCTGCATCAGCGTACACAGATTCATAGGCGTCTGCCATCCGGTGCGGTCTTTATCCTGGATGAACGCCCGCCGTGCTCGTTGGATCTCGGTGGGAATATGGCTGATCATACTTATCTTACAGACCCCACTTCTTTATTTCTCCAGGACGAGACTTAATGATGAAGTTCTGGTCTGTCACGACACCACTATCAAGGAGCTCTTCGATGATTTTCTGGTCTACAGCTCGGTGGTGATGCTCCTGCTCTTTGTCCTGCCGTTTGGGGTCGTGTTAGTCTGCAATTTCCTCATAGTAAAAAAACTTCGTGAGCCAGGTGTCGGCGATGCTCCAACATCACAGCGATCCAAGCAGAAGTCGGTGAAGATGATCATCATTGTGCTTGTGGCGTTCATGCTGTGCTTCTTACCCTTCCATGTGAACCGCAGTGTATACTACACCCTCCGCTACCTGGATCAAGCAAATTGCACCGTAATACGGCTTTCCAATAATGTCTACAAGGCCACACGACCTCTGGTTAGTTTCAACAGCTGCATTGACCCTATCCTCTACTTCATGGCAGGACAGAGCTTCAGAAAAAGCATCAAAAAGACATCAAGCCAACGCTATGATAAATCCATGTCAACATACTGAAACTACTTTGAAATAGATTAGTCATGCTACCAAACGTTTCCCTGCTGAAAAATCCAGCTTAAACCAGCCTAGGCTGGTTGGCTGGTTTTAGCTGGTCGTCCAGCCTGGTTTTAGAAGGGTTTTGGCCACTTCCAGGCTGGTTTCTAGCCATTTCCAGTCTGGTCAGGCTGGAAAATGACCAGCTTAATCCAGCTAAAACCAGCTTGACCAGCCTGGTTTAAGCTGGACATAGCTGGTTTTGGCTGGACTCCCAGCCTGGCTAGGCTGGTCAAGCTGATTTTAGCTGGATTAAGCTGGTCATCTCTCAGCCTGACCAGCTAAGACCAGGCTGAAAACCAACCTGGAAATGGCCAAAACCCCTCTAAAACCAGGCTGGACGACCAGCTGAAACCAGCCAAGCATCCTAGGCTGGTTTAAGCTGGATTTTTCTGTATGGTTATGATTAATCCTGACATTTCACACAATAACACTTAACATTGTTTTGCATGCATTTACAATTGAAACATGGTTGTGCTTACGGAAAGACAACTGATCTCTTCCTAGCCAATTTTCAAATACACACAAGCTTAATGTAATAATGCAGTAAGTTCACATAATGTTGGTCATGTCTGTAAATGTAAACAGATGCGGGAAAAAAGTGAAACAGAAGTTACAACACAACAGTAAGTCAACCCATCCAGGTCTATTGTGAGGGGACTTTAAAACTGAGCATATTAGGTGCACTGGAGGAACTTTTTCACCGTTTCTTGAAACTTAAATTGGGAACAATGCCATTCGGGGGTACTAAAGCTCTTAATTCAAAGCAGGGTCTAATCCGACATGATTGAAACTACAGTACCAGTGACGTACTGTAAAGCCGTGTTTCTCAACCGTGTTCCTGGAGGACCACCAACACTGCATGTTTTGGATGTCTCCTTTGTCTGTCACACTCGTTACAGGTCTTTCAGTCTCTGCTAATAAGCTGATGATCTGAATCAGGTGTGTTTGGTGTGTCCAAACTCAGTCCTGGAGTGCCGGTGTCCTGGAGAGTTTAGCTGCAACCCTAATCAAACACATCTGGACCAGCTAATCAAGCTCTTACTATACTAGAAACTTCCTGGCAGGTGTGTTGAAGCAAGTTGGAGTTAAACTGTGCAGGACACCGGCCCTCAAGGACTGGGTTTGGACACCCCTGGGTTAAGCAGACATGGGAAATGTGCAAAGCTGTTTGTCCTCCAGAAACGCGGTTGAGAAACACTGACGTAAAGTATGCAAACTGAGTAAATGGATTCAATATGACATTCTGGCACGTTTTTTTTTAAGTGTTGCCAGACATACACATTGAGAAAGCCAGTGTTAGTGGCATTTATTTGTTGCATTTGTCTGCTATATGTAGAACTGAAAAGTACTTTACGTTTTCTGTAACACTTTATTTTGATGGTTTGTTTGAGTATTAGTAGACTGTCTGCTTAACATCTGTTGATACTGCTCGTTCAACAGACATTTAACAGACTATAAGAAACTTTGCAGGAACATGTCAACCCCAACCAAACAGTCTACTTGTAATCTAATGAGAATTAGTTACAATGTAACTTAAAATTCAACAAATGGACCATCAAAATACAGCGTGACCAAGTTTTCTAGTGATGGTGCAAGTGAAACCAAGAAAACAGTTTGGGGGGAAATTAGTTCTTGAGAAGTCATGTCTAATGGCAGGTTAGTTTCTTAACTGAGTTTCTGGTGAAAAAGCTCATATTGTGACATGTTTGTTCCCAGAGAAAGAATTCTGTAAAAAAACTGATGACTGCCAATGGAGAAACTTCGTCCTTTGTAACTCTGTATTTCTTTTGCCTTCTTAAAGTGTATGTGACGCAGTCAGTCAAGTTTACATTATTTTGTGAATTGCTTTCCACTTTAATGAAAATATATTAAAGAAACTCGATTAATGTAACCATTTTGAAGAAAAGAGCATGTTTTACTGCAGCTTTTAGAGCAAGGGGGTTGGTTCCGTTCCCTCAGCTGAACAGATACAGGGTAAGTCTAGATCGGATATGCGGCCGGCCGGAAGTGCGGTATGCACATTAATATAGCAGAATTTTTTATGAAAAACATTGCATATACCTTAGGAACGATGTAACACAAAATGTTGGCAGTTTTAAAACCTTGACTTTTCCAAACTGCAGTAAACCTTGAAACCGGTTATCATCCCATGCCTACGTCATTTCAAAATATTGGTGCCCTAGCTCTAAAAAACTAAAGTAAAGCATGCCATTTTCTGCAAATGCTTACATTAATTTAGTTTGTTATTTAAACATTTTCATTAAAATAGGAATAAATTTACTAAATAATGTAAACTTGACTGACTGCTCCACTTTAAATAGCAACATTATGCACTACTAAACTAGTTTTTTTCTTTTTTTAAAATAGTGTTTTAGAATGAAAACACTCCTCATTCAGACTGGCATTTTCATTGTATTTCAATAGAATCTCCATCCAATCTATACAGCCTAAAATGCATGACAGTTTGACCATTCACACTAAATGGGCATGCACATATTTTAACTTGACTTCTAGCTATGACTGTGAGTAATTTATGTTTTAAAAAGTGAAGTAAATCTACAATTAAAGTAGTAAGTAAAGGGCATTTAGAGACTGAATCATTCTGTGTGTTAAAATAATAATAATATCAATTTAAAGGGACATATGTTTCACCTAAAGCTGTATGTAATGTTTGTATGTCTATTCTGTACTTAAAGTACAGGTATAAATATGTTGCGGGAAAAAAAGATGTTTGTATATAATATACTATGATTAGTTCCTAATACATTCAGGGAATTTCCTGTGACAATCTGCATATTGTGTGTCCTGAATAGCATGTGATGTGAGTTTCTGTGAATTTTCATATTAAAATATGTGAGATTGTAAATTAATTGAAAAGCAAATAGTTTTTTGTTGTTACATGTTTTTGAACATGCATTTCGTTTTACAAACAAGTGACAATGACATTTAGTCATTTAGCACAGTGGTTCTAAAAGGGGTGGCGGGACAATGAAGGGGGGCCGCCTGGTGACTGTCAAAAATCTATTTATTTTTATTAAATCATACGAATTACCATATTTTACCAAAACCTACTGAAGAGAAAAAAATAGTTTATGACAAATTTATACCCCATTTTGAAATTAAACATATAAGGTAGTGTAATCTACACAACATTATTGCAGTGTGTTTCGATGTGATCTGGTTTTGTTGTGGTTCTGTGACTGCTGGTGTTGGTTGCTTTATGGTTAAAAAAATTTGACAGTTAAAGTAACTAGTTTAATTTCGATTTAAATTAATTAAAATAAAATAAAATATTAATGTAATATTTTAAACGCATTTTTGTGCTTTTAGGCTGGAAAAAGGCAGCAAATCTGGCAATACTGCAAGTGAATTATTGCTTAAAGATCTCAGCAAATCTGTCAGTCAAGTCATCTTATTCTGTTTAGTCATGATTTTATCAGTCCACACTGAAAGCACATTAAAATAAGTAACGATGTTTACATTTAGGCTATATCAGAAAAAAAACAGTGTTTTGAACACTGATGGACAATAGAAAACTGTCATTAATGAACTTTAATAATAAATAATAATAATTTTAATTAATCATTATTATTGCCCACTTCAGTTTCCCAAGTGTGATCCCTAATGGCTGACTTTTTAGCCTAACAAAAATGAAATTATCTAATTTTATCCTACGATTTATTTAAGGGAGCCTTCTGATTCACGTTTAGGATGTAACTATTATATAACAAAACAAAACAAAGCCAGTCAAACTGGAGAGCTAAAGGCGATGGTGCAAAATAACCTGATGGCGTCTTTGTTAATATATGAAATAATACATCATACTTTCACGGTCAAAAGGATATGAATGCCGGAAATAATTTTTTATTCATTTTCCTTCAGCTTAGTCTCTTAATTACTAGGGGTCACTACTGCGGAATGAACCGCCAACTATTCCAGCATATGTTTTACACGATGGATGCCCTTTCAGCTGCAACCCAGTACTGGGAAGCCAACACAATCTCACGGCAATTCGTAACTTTTTCATTTAGTGGCTAATTCGTATGAATTCGTAGGATCTAATTCATACAATTTAGTACGATTTGCTCATCCCCCAATGACGGTTGGAGTTAGGTGCCACGCCTCCTTTTTAAAATCGTACAATTTCATACGACTGAACTTGTACGAATTTGTACGAATTCCCCACTAAACTGGCAAAACGTAAAATACTTAGGTTTTCTCGTGAGATCAGGCTGGGGAAACACCCATACACACTCATTTACACACATAAAACTACGGCAGGGGTGTCAAACTCAGATCCTGGAGGGACGCAGCCCTGCACAGTTTGGTTCCAGCCCTGCTTCAACACACTTACCAGCAGGTTTCAAACAAGCCTGAACGACTTAATTAGTTTGATCCGGTGTGTTTAATAAGGGTTGGAACTAAACTGTGCAGAGCTGCAGCTCTCCAGGAACCGAGCTTGACCACACTACGGCCAATTTAGCTTATTCAACTCACCTTTAGCGTGTGTCTTTGGACTGTGAGAGCAAACTCCACACAGAAATGGCCACTGGTCCAGCTGAGGCTGGAACCAGCAACCTTCTTGCTGTGCAGGTAATGTAATGTAATGTAATGTAATGTGTATTTATATAGCGCATTTATTGTGTATGGCCATACACCCAAAGCGCTTTACAATCATGAGGGGGGTCTCTCCAGGTGATAGTGCTGAGCCACCGTGCCACCCATTTTCTAATCAATAGTGCTGTTATTATTTCTATACTGTTTACATTGTGGGACAATATTCACCTGGTGTTTTATTTAAGTGCAAATCAGAAATATGAAATACACAGCAGTACTAAACAGGACACCTTCTGTCACACTTTAAAATGTGTGAATTAGCTGAGAAAACACCAAACCAAGCTGCAATTATTTACATAAAGACACACAAGCACACTTTTCAAGCTAACAGTTTGACAGTGAGTCGAAAACAAGCAAACAACAGATCAGATGAAGAACTTAAAGAGTTTGTTAGTCATTAGTGGAACTTGTTGATAGATAATTTGATGAACTCAAATCATATAATGCAGTATAATACGACATTCACATATTTATGATTTGCACCTCAAGTCATGCAACGTAAACATCATAAAAATTAATTCAGTCTCTATTTAAATATTTTAGTTGGTGGACGTGTGTTAACCATCTTTGCTTAAGTAAATATCATTGTGAAATATCCTGTTCTTATTGCCACAGCCATGTCACCCTGCAGCCCAAGACCGGTTACTCACTGAAGCTAAGCAGGGCTGAGCCTGGTCAGTACCTGGATGGGAGACCACTAGGGAACACTAGGTTGCTGTTGGAAGTGGTGTTAGTGAGGGCAGCAGGGGGCGCTCAACCTGTGGTCTATGTGAGTCCTAATGCCCCAGTAAAAGTGAAGGGGACGCTATACTGTCAGTGGGCACCGTCTTTCGGATGAGACGTTAAACCGAGGTCCTGACTCTCTGTGGTCATAAAAAATCCCATGGCACTTCTTGTGAAAGAGCAGGGGTGTAAACCCGGTGTCCTGGCCAAAGTCCCTCTATCGGCCCTTATGATCATGGCCTCCCAATCATCCCCTTCCACCGAATTGGCTTGATCGCTGTCTCTCCACTCCACCAATAGCTGGTGTGTGGTGAACGCACTGGCGCCGTTGTCCTGAGGCAGCCGTCACATCATCCAAGTGGATACTGCACACTGGTGGTGGTGTGGAGAGACCCCCCTCATGATTGTGAAGCGCTTTGGGTGTATGACCATACATAATAAATGCGCTATATAAATACACATTACATTACATGTTCTATTTGAATGTATGAGGCATGATGGTAAAAACGGTATGATATAATAATAATAATAATAATAATAATAATAATAATAATAAATACATTTATATATAAAAAATAAACGGCAAACATAATCTTACTCGGAATGTTTCTGCAGTTTTCCAGTTTAAACGCCCAAACATGCTTAAATGAAGTACCTGAGAAGCAAAGTGACATTATTAACATGTTGTAGGATTATAAATTATTAAGTATAATTGAAAATTAAATGATTGATAAAACTGGAGTAAAAAAAAAACAATTCAAAAGGAAAACAAAGCTGTTTTTCTTAACCACCCAACACATTTTTTCCTTATTTATACAGCTTTTATTATTAATTTAGCAGAAAACAACACAATCTCTCAAGTGATTTCATATGTATGTACTGTATACACACAACACCTGACAAAAGTCTTGTTGTTTCTTGTAAAAGCAAAAAATAATAAGTTGACTTCTAGTTGATCATTTGGGAAAGTGGCAGAAGGTGGATTTTTCAGATGAATCATCTGTTGATCTGCATCCCAATCATCACAGATATTCAATTCCTTTTACTTCAGCTTTATATATACAGCGCTTTTACAATGAAGATTGTGTCAAAGCAGCTTCACATAAATGGTCATAGTAACTGGATCAGGGTAGTTCAGTTTTTAGTGTTTAAGGGTGCTTTCACACCTACACTTTTGTTTCGGAACGTGTCTCGTTTGCCCAGTTAGCGCGGTTCGTTTGGCATATGTGAACAGGGCAATCGCGCTCTGTTCCGCGACAAAGTAGTCGCTCCGAGATCGCTTGAATGAGGTGGTCTCGGCTCGATTGAAACGAACCCTGGAGCGGTTCGATTGCAGTGAGAAAGCGATCCGATCCGAGCGCGGTTATATCACAGTGTTTTATGGATATGTAATAGGCTTACGGCTATATGAAGAGAGAATTATGAGTAGGGCGGGAAGTTTCGCGAGTCTCCGGATGCCCGCAAACGAGTGATGATCTCCCGGTAATCTCGCGTCTCCCTCCCGGTCCTCAAATAGGCATCGCCGTGCACCCTTCTCACCCCTCCCCACCGCATCTCTCCTCAGACACGTCACGCGCGCACCCTGTCAATCACCACCAAACCACCACCTCTCCTGACAGCTGAGCGGGACGCTGCAAAATAAACCCTGACACTCTGACCAATGTGAGGAGAGTTTACTCGCACGTGACTTGTTTTAGCTCTTTTGGTCCGATTAGAAACTTTGCAGTGTGAAAGCGAACCGCTCCAAGAGCAAAGAGCAACAATGTAACAATTGTAATCTCTGTTTCAGAACAACTGAATCGATTCACAGGTGTGAAAGCACCCTAAGTTCAGTTTAGTTTAGCTCAGTTCAGTGTGGTTTGAAGTCATTATTGAGAGTCCAACACTGAAGAGAAAATTCATCGATGAGTAGCTTATCATATCCTGAACCATGCAAGCCAAATACTGCAGAAGACCTACTGGAACCAACATGGAGCCACGATTCTCACAGAAATCAGTCAAGTTTGGCAACATCAACAGCCTGAGGGATCAAGACATTTGTGCTGCCCATTACATTACAAACCTCAGGAGAGGGACAATTCTCCAGCAGGATAGCGCTCCTGCTCATACTTCAGCCTCTACATCAAAGCTCCTGAAAGCAAAGAAGGTCAAGGTGCTCCAGGATTGGCCAGCCCAGTCACCAGATATGACTATTATTGAGCATGTCTGAGGTTATATGGAGGAGGAGGCATTGAATATGTATCCAAAGAGTCTTGATGAACTCTGGGAGTCCTGCAGAAACGCTTTCTCTGCCATTCCAGATGACTTTATTAATCAGTGATTTGAGTCATTTTAGAGATGTATGAATGCAGTCCTCCAAGCTAATCATTTTATTTTGGTAAAGCAAGTGTAATCTAGAGGTCTTTGCATTTTATATAAGCCACTTCTGATAACAAATGATTAACTAGAAGTCAACTTATTACAGTTTTTACCAAAATCTTTTGCCACACAATTTCTGAAACATCTCACGCTAAAGAATCTAGAGTATATCTTTTACGTTGTTTTTTTAAAATAATTTTTGTAAAAGATTTTTACATACAGTAACAGTATTTTTATGTTCTTTTATGCCATATACACCAGTAATGTTTGGCCTAATAAGCATTTTTGTTGTTTTCATGTCATTGGTGTTTGCAGTGTACCTGTTCCTCCTCTCAGCAGACTCTCACTGTCACTGTAGAACATAGTATTGCACTGTAGATATAAGCCTAAAGAGCTTTAGATTTAGAACAACATTGTTTACATGGTTTATTCCTACATTTACCATTATGAGAGAAGTGTTTGCCGTTTGATGCAGATGCTTTATTCTGAAGTGTGTGTATGACATTTTGAATGCAGTCTGACATTTTGAAGCAGATGTGAGGCGTTTTGCACTTTGTGTGTGCAGTTTTGGGAATTGTGTGTAGAGTTTTGAAATGTGTGTAAGCAGTTGGAAAAAATTGTATTACTTGGATAATCGATAAGACTTTATATATATAAAAATAATTCTATATAAATAATTAATACATTTAACATAAAATGAATTGACAACTGCATATTATTTTTGCATGTTTACTTTTATTCATAATTCATAACAAAACAAGGTGCAAACGTTTTGAGCATGACTGTACATTTTCAACTCATTAAAAACTTTAAATACTAAAACACAAAACTACAATAAAAATAATAATAATAATAATAAAAAGTAAGAGATGTAAATCAAACTAGTTTGCAATAATACTTCTGAATATTTTTTTTTAAACGGAGAGAATGGCTGTGTCCAAAACTGCAGACTCTCTTGAGCAGGTCCTTATGTTAAAACGATTTCCCCAGCCTCTAGTGTACTTATACTGTAAACTCAAATTCACTCCAGTCAGTTTTTTCACCCACTATCTAGTGTTGAAAGTATGATTTGGGACGCAGCCGCTTGTTCTGAGTGCTGTTTTTGATTGTGCAGTGTGTCGATCAGCAGTAGAGGGCACTAAACCCCTTTGTAGTGTCTTATGGAAGCACCCATGCTATCTGCTTATCCTTTTGAATAAAATAGTTCTATGACTTAAGCAATAAATACGAGTTCAAAGCTCCTCCAGGTCTTGAATACTGACATCACATCACATCTCTGGCCTGATTGGTCACCTTCTGATGATGTCATCCGCACGAAGGTCCGTCTTGTCAGTGGATGTGCTCTGATAAACCGGTCATAAGTTCAGCTGAGAAAGAGAGAAGAGAAAGAGTGGAGTCATTGATTATGAAGGTCTACACAGAAAGTTGTTGAACAAAATAATGTAAAAGCGTTTTATAGCCACTAGAGGGCGCTGAATAATAGTCATTTCATCCTGACTGGGTTGACATGAAGTGAAGCAGTGGAAAAAATGACTCCAGCGCTGACAGGAAGAGGATAGAAATTGAGAGGAAAAAAAAAAACCCAAAACAAAAACACAGGCTCACATTTAATTAATAAACTTAAAATATTTCCTCTATGGACCAAATTACTGATTAAGTAATATTATAATATTAAGTATATTTAAAGTAATATTATGTTATGTTATATTATAAGATAATGTGTTATATCAAATTATATTATATTATATTTTATTACATTATATTATATTTTATTGAATTATATTATGTTATTTAATGTTATATTATATTATATTATGTCATATCATATGATATTGTTATATTATGTTATATTATGTTATATTATGTTATATTATATTATATTATATTATTCATTCATTCATTAATTTTCTTGTCAGCTTAGTACCTTTATTAATCCGGGTTCGCCACAGCGGAATGAACCGCCAACTTATCCAACACGTGTTTTTATGCAGCGGATGCCCTTCCAGCCGCAACGCATCTCTGGGAAACATCCACACACACTCATACACTACGGACAATTTAGCCTACCCAATTCACCCGTACCGCATGTCTTTGGACTGTAGGGGAAACCGGAGCACCCGCAGGAAACCCACGCGAACGCAGGGAGAACATGCAAACTCCACACAGAAACGCCAACTGACCCAGCCAAGGCTCGGGAAGCTACTTTCTTTTCTTTGTCACTACGCACTGCGCAACTGCGTCACCCTATATTATATTATATTATATATATATATATATATATATATATATATATATATATATATATATATATATATATATTAGGGATGTAACGGTATCAGAATTTCACGGTTCGGTAATACCTCGGTATGAATGTCACGGTACGGTATTTATTGAATCATTTACAGGAAAAAAAAAACTTTTGAAAATACTCCAAAAAAGTGCCAAAAGTGTCAATGACATACAAATTAGCCATCTATCTGTTAGCTTTGAAACAGGAACTTCAATTTTAATAACAAAAAATTATTAAACCATGTAAAAAAATAAAGTTTCAATTTAGTATTGTTGAAAACTCATCACATTCAACATTTAATCACTCACTTAAATAGAGATGGGTTTAAAGAAAAATTATCATATAATTATAATCTGGTAAAAGCTGGTATCTCTGGGTATTTACAATGTCCCCTGCAACAGAAAAAACCCTCTCATTTGGGACTGAGGTTTCTGGGACAGAGAGACTTGGCCCATGTTGACAGCAGTGGGGTAACGTTGTGCACTGTCTTTCCCCCACATGAGGACAAACCATGAGTGAGATAGAGGTCTCTTTGCGGTACAAGTCAATGTCTGCATCAATCTGAACAGTGCTGTGTTTCTGCAGTCCCCATGACTGTTATTAGTCGTATTCCCCAACTTGCAGGCACGTGCACACATAGGGCTCAACCTGTGCAGTGCACATGCCCTTTTTAGTCTTGGATAGAAAATGCCCTTCCAAAACGATCAAAAGTGCCCCCGCGACGCGACACAACCTCCGTCCAGTCCAGCCCTTCAGTAGGCGCGCGACAACACCTCTCTTGGTATGCGCGCTCAACCCCCCCCCCTCGGCGCTTTACAATACGCGCGCCACAACACAGCTGATCAGAACGCGCGCGACAGCACCGCTATTCAGCACGCGCGCGGCGACAACACCCGCTTTAGGTTCGATCATTTCCATCTTTTTTTCATCTCCGCTACTAGCAGCACACTCCATTTCCGCATTACTGGATCTGTAGCGACAACAGACCGCAAAGGATTATGGCCACGCCGGGGCTGATGGGAAATGAAGTTTCAGCTACCTCCCGTTCGCTTCATTCGCCTGAGCAAATTTTCTCTGAAGATCTATAGTTTTACCGAGTCATGCGACTTCGGTAATATCGAAAAAATTTAATATTGTGGTATGACGGTATTTACAATACCGTTACATCCCTAATATATATATATATATATATATATATATATATATATATATATATATATATATATATATATATATATATATATACATACAGTTGAACTCAGAATTATTAGCCCACATTTCTAATCATAATCTAATAATAGTTTTAATAACTCATCTCTAATAACTGATTTATTTTATTTTTGCCATGATGACAGCAAATAATATTTGACTTGATATTCTTCAAGACACTTCTATACAGCTTAAAGTGACATTTACAGATTTAACTAGGTTAATTAGGGTAACTAGGCAGGTTAGGGGAATTAGTCAGGTTATTGTATAATGATGGTTTGTTCTGTAGACTCTCGAAAAAACATATAGCTTAAAGGGGCTAATAATTTTAACCTTAAAATGGTGTTTAATAAATTAAAAACTGCTTTTATTCTAGGCAAAATAAAACAAAAAAGACTTTCTCTAGAAGAAAAAATATTATCAGACATACTGTGAAAATTTCCTTGCTCTGTTAAACATCATTTGGGAAATATTAAGAGAAGTAAAAATCAAAGGGGGGCTAATAATTCTGACTTCAACTGTATATATATTATATGTAAACTGTCAATTGCATTTTTGCACTTAAACTACTGTGCAAAAGTGTAGCACTTTACATTTTTTAAACAAAATTAATAATTTTATTTAGCAATAACTGATCATAAGTGACATTATATCACAATTATTTTAGCATTACAAACAAACTATATTTTAAATAAATATGATACTAAATAAATACACTTTACTATAAATACGGATACTGAAATATGATTTTGTAAGTCAGTAAATTCTGCTTTAAAACATATGAATAAATTATAATTTAAATTATATTTTGAAGGGACGACAAGGTAGCTCAGTGGTTAGCACTGTCGCCTCACAGTAAAAAAAGTCACTGGTTCGAGTCCCGGCTGGGTCAGTTGGCATTTCTGTATGGAGTTTCCCAGTACTGGATTGCAGCTGAATGGGCATCGGCTGCGTAAAGCATGCTGGATAAGTTAAGACTAAGCTGAGGAAAATGAATGAATAAAAGAAATATTAAAATATTTAGATAACAGTTATTTTAAACAGCAAAAAATTCCTCTGTACAATAAATGAATCACGTTTCTGAACATGTTGATCTTCAATAATTTTTCTGTTTTGCCCTATTAATCACATCATTAATTAATAATTAATAATAAATAAAAGTAAAACTGGGTTTAAATAGAACAAAACCCATAAGACATTAGGAAACATTTAAATTATGCAGGATTGTTCTGTGTGTCATGTATAGACGCCACAAGGCCACAAAGGGTTAAATGTCAAGAGCAGCTGGAAAATAAATCATGAAGCGAAGCCTTGAGGCATTTCTGTAAATCCCAGCAGCTATTGATAGTCAATGTGAAGCCTTTAGTCCACCGCCACTAAAATACTTATGTAAGACGTCAAACTGTTGTGTCAGGAAACAAACACTGAGCGCCATTTAACCAAAATTTAGCTACTATTCTGATTAAAGCAAAACACTACAGGAAAATGGGCTAGTAAAATAAGTCAAAGAAGTCATAGACATCAATATATTGACTTATTATTCAAATAAAAACTGATATTAAATTATTTTATTCATTTTCCTTTAGCTTTGTCCCTTTATTTATTAGGGGTCTCCACAGCGGAATGTCCCGCCAACTTATCCAGCATATGTTTTATGCAGCGGATGCCCTTCCAGCTGCAACCCAGTACTGGGAAACACCCATACACTCTCACATTCAAACACAAACTCATACACTATGGCCAATTTAGTTTATTTGATTCACCTATAGCGCGTGTGTTTGGACTGCGGGGGAAAGCGGAGCACCTGGAGGAAACCCATGCCAACACGAGGAGAACATGCAAACTCCACACAGAAATGCCAACTGACCCAACCGAGACTAAAATCGGCAACCTTCTTGCTGGGAGGCAGCAATGCTAATCACTGAGCCCTCGAATTCGTGCTAAATCAATCCATCTGAGATCGCCTGAATGAGATGGTCTCTGCTCGATTGAACTATGGAACGGATTGATAGTAGTGAGAAAGCAATACGATCCAACGAACTACCTTACCAGGCTACATCACAGTGTTATGTGGTTTTGTACAGTAATAGCCATGTATAAGGCTATATGAAGGAGAATGAGGAGTAGGGCCGGAAGTCATTCCTAATGGTAAATGTGCAAAATATTATCGAGAGCTGTTTATCCATTAGGACAGTGGTCACCAAACTTGTTCCTGGAGGGCCGGTGTCCTGCAGATTTTATCTCCAACCCTAATCAAACACACCTGAACAAGCTAATCAAGGTCTTACATGGTATACTTGAAACATCCAGGCAGGTGTGTTGAGGCAAGATGGAGCTAAACCCTGCAGGGACACCGGCCCTCCAGGACCAGGATTTATGACCCCTGCATTAGGACAATTGACCGAAGTTACCATCTGAGAGTTCTTCCATATTTTAATCTTATAATATGTTGTGTTAGGCCTGTTGTTTTGTTCATCTCTGCACTGACAGCCTTAAAAGAAAGATCCACATTGATCTGCTTCATGATCTGATGTAGTCTCGCTTCATCTGGTATTTCTCTCTATAATTTAAGCCTAGAATAGGCCAACGTTTCTTTTCCAAAGATTGATTAATTTAATAGATAGATTTTCACAAAACTTGACAACTGAAATGAGACTCTGTATGAGAAAGTCTGACCTCTCTGATTTAAATTTGGTGCACATTTTGTACTTATAAAATAATCTATACACAACTGGCCAAATGTTTGGCGTCAGTGGGATTTGTAAAGGTTTTAAAATAACCTTCTCCTGCTCACCAAGGCTGCAATTATTTGATCAAAAATATAGAACAAATTGTAAAAACTGTGAAATATTATTGCACTATAAAATAACTGTTCAAAAGTAGTTTATAATTTAATTTATTCATTTATTCCAGTGATTTTTTAAAGATTAATTTCAGCTTCATTACTCCAGTCTTCAGAGTCACATGATCCTTCAGAAATCACTCTAATATTAATTATTTTTAATGTTATTGTTATTGTTGTTGCAATTGTTATTAATAATAATAATAAAATAAAGATAATAATATTCATTCATTCATTCATTCATTCATTTATTTTCTTGTCGGCTTAGTCCCTTTATTAATCCGGGGTCGCCACAGTGGAATGAACCGCCAACTTATGCACAAGTTTTTTTTTACGCAGTGGATGCCCTTCCGGCCGCAACCCATCTCTGGGAAACATCCACACACACACATTCACACACACACACACACACACTCATACACTACGGACAATTTAGCCTACCCAATTCACCTGTACCGCATGTCTTTGGACTGTGGGGGAAACCGGAGCACCCGGAGGAAACCCACGCGAACGTATGGAGAACATGCAAACTCCACACAGAAACGCCAACTGAGCCCAAGTTCGAACCAGCGACCTTCTTGCTGTGAGGCGACAGCACTACCTACTGCGCCACTGCCTCGCCTAATATTATTATTGTTATTATTATTATTAATAATATTATTATTATTTGTGATGATTATTATTAATATTGTTATTGTTTTATTATTATTATTATTATTATTATTATTATTATTATTGTTATTATTATTATTGTTGTTGTTATTTTTTTATATTATTATTATTATTGTTATTATTAATGATAATAGTAATACAAGCAATAATGGCTGGAGTAATAATTGCATTTGAAACAACAAACAATAAGAAAGCAGTTACTCAAAATGTGAATAAACAATTACCAAATTTTTTTTTTTTAACATTTAATAAATGCCGCCTTGATGAACAGAATTGTTTTCTTTAAAAAAGAAAAAAAAAAACATAAAAAAATTAATAAAACTGACCCCAAACTTTTGACCGGTAGCCTGTAATATATATACATATATATTACCGGCTATATTTTTTTGGTAGGACCAATGAAAATTTTGACAGGGGAAGTAAAAATTTGAATCACTGGCCCGATTGTGCTAGTAGAAAAAATCCTTAGAGTTGAACCCTGCCATTATACGGAGTGTTTCCCATTCAAGTACTGATGACAAATGCAAGACTTCCTGTGGGGATTTTTATGCACGGCTTTATGAACATCAAGGACAGAAAGAGGAGGAAGAGGAAACCCAAATTCCAGTCAAAAGGATGTATTATATATAAAAAAACATGCTCGGAGGAATATGTGTAGTCACTCACTTCCTGTCTTGCCTTTGCGGAGGCGGAGTTAGAGGATGAGGACACTCCCAGCAGCGATCGCTCCTCCGCCGGCTCCGTCTGACTGCTGTCCATAGAGTCGGTGTCGCTTGATTCAGGCTGAGGCGCTTCCTTTAAAGATGACTTCATTTCTGGGATCTGAGCCACCTGGAACCTGCCGTTCACACACAGGGATAACACTGAGCATCAGTGAGTGAGTCTACAGGCCTGATGTGTCACTGTGAGCATGACTGGGTGTGTGTGAGAGAATCAAACGTGAATAAACACCGGATTCATTCAGTCATTAGGATTTATTGGTTTCTTCCAAAACCTTTGTTTTGGTCAATATTATTTCTTTATCCTGCTATTTTGGATTGCAACTGGGATTGAGTGTTTATTGTTAAGCAATTTTTTTCTGACACTGAAATAAAGCTAAAATTGCATAAATAAACAAATTAATGACTAAATGAAAATAATAGCTACATTTCTATACATTAACTAAAACTTCACACTACTAAAATTTTAACACTATACAATTTTTAACACTATTTTAATTTAAATAAAGTATTGTGAAATTGTAATTGAAATAAAAGAATAAAATAGATCAAATTAATTATATATATATATATATATATATATATATATATATATATATATACATACACCCACCGGCCACTTTATTAGGTACATCTGGGCAACAGCTTGTTAACTCAATTTCTAATCAGCCAATCACATGGCAGCAACTCAATGCATTCAGACATGTAGACATGGTCAAGATGATCTGCTGCAGTTTAAACTGAGCATCAGAATGGGGAAGAAATGTGATTTAAGTGACTTTGAATGTCCCATGGTTGTTGGTGCCAGACATGGTCTGAGTATTTCAGAAACTGCTGATCTACTGGGATTTTCACGCACAACCATCTCTAGGGTTTACAGAGAACGGTCTGAAAAAGAGGAAATATCCAGTGAGCGGCAGTTCCGTGGGTGCAAATGCTTTGTTGATGCCAGAGGTCAGAGGAGAATGGCCAGACTGGTTCCAGCTGATAGAAAGGCAACAGTAACTCAAATAAGCACTCGATACAACTGAAGTCTGCAGAAGAGCATCTGTGAACACACAACTCGTCCAACTTTGAGGCGGATGGGCTACAGCAGCAGAAGACCACACCGGGTGCCACTCCTGTGAGCTAAGAATAGGAAACTGAGGCTACAATTCACACAGGCTCACCAAAACTGGACAATAGAAGATTGGAGAAACGTTGCCTGCTCTGATGAGTCTCCAATTCTGCTGAAACATTTGGATTGTAGGATCAGAATAAAGCGTGAATCATTTTAGACTGGTTTCTTGAACATGACAATGAGTTCACTGTACTTAAATGGCCTCAATAGTCACCAGGTCTCAATCCAATAGAGCACCTTTGGAATGTGGTGGAACGGGAGTTTCACATCATGAATGTGCAGCTGATAAATCTGCAGCAACTGCGTGATGCTATCATGTCAATATGGAGCAAAATCTCTGAGGAATAATTCCAGTACCTTGTTGCTTGTTGACCTATATGCCATGAAGAATTAAGACAGTTCTGAAAGCAAAAGAGTTGTCCAACCCGGTACTTGTAAGGTGTACCTAATAAAGTGGCCTGTGAGTATATATACACAAATAAAGCCAAGTCAGAAATTAATAAACGCTATAATTGAATATAAATGATAAAATATAAATAATAATAATGCTGGTAGTACCTTATTTGTGTAACAAAAGCAATACCACCATATGAAATGGTACAAATAAGAATTAACATTTAAACTTTTAGGTTTGAATTTGTTTGTAGGTGTTTCTATGTTTCATATGAAAATGAGAACATACATTTACATACATATATATATATATATATATATATATATATATATATATATATATATATATATATATATATATATATATATATATATATATATATATACACACACACACACATTTAGGTTTAAATCCAGCCATACAACTCATATTACGTATATTTCTTTATATATATATTTTTTTCCTCACCTTCCCACAGACAGTATGGTGACCTCAGGTGCTTTGACCATGTTAGTGGGGCTCTTGTGCATATCGGTGGGCAGTGCCAGCGCCGGCAGCAGCAGCTCGGGCCATTTCTTCTGACTGCAGCGGGAACAGCAGACACCGGAGCGCGAGGCCAGGCCGTTTATAGTGTGCAAATGATGCTGGTGTGTACACAGCCTCGGCAGAGAACGAAACTGAGAGAAATGAGGAAGACCCGGAAACCTGAAAGAGAAACACACACACACACACACAGATGGTGTGTATAGTTAATATTATCAGCAATATTTTTTTTTCTCGATTGTCTACAGGACAAACCACTGTTATATAACTCCCCAAATAATCTAATAGACTTAGTTCAGTTGATTTTCAATGAAAAGTGGAGTGTTCCTTTAAAACAACTTCTTATTATTTCTCATTTCGTTCTCTTGACACAACACACATGAACCACACATTAGAGGAGCCGTGATATTCAGCCGCCCCATCCCAGAGTTCCACAGTGATGATGTCAGAGCTCACGGCAGCTGTATAATGCAGCACTCTTGGCAGGCAGAGTAGATCCTGAATTAAAGGATCTCCTAAACTAAGCAGCCAGCACATATTGTTATTTCAGCAGGCACTGATGATGGCAGCACGACGGACAACTGAGCCAGCATGTTCAGGAGTGGCCACTGTACAACTGTGATTGTAATGCCTAGTTCAGACTGCGTGATTTTAGCCCCGATTTTGGCTCGCCGACAGGTTTTGAGAAATCGCCGACAAATGCCTGAAATCACAGGCAAATCGCTGCTCGTGCACGTGAGTGACAATCACACAGTATGAACTATCAAAGACGCGATCTGAGAGAATCGCTGATGAGTCGCCGATGCCTGTGAGATATTTGGCATGCTGAATATCTGGAGCTGTCGGCGATTCAAATCCTGCCGTGTGAATTGAGTTTTGACTGAAAATAACATCAGCGATCGCCTACAGCCAATGAGAGAGCAGCTTTCACTTGTGTGTGCGTGTGTGTGTATACCTGCTGCAGGCCAGCGGGAGGCTGGGGGAGAAGTTAAAAGCGCTCATTTTTCGGTTTATTTGGACCCATGAAATGGAGGAAAAACTAGTGGAGGTTTGACAGGACTCAGGAGCAACCGTGTCTGTTTGACGTTTCAAAGAAATTAGTTTATTATCAATGTTGAGGAGAAATGGCTAATTCCCTTTAAACCCAGGTGAGCAAATATGTACAAGTTCTACCCCATTAAAGGCTTCTTTCTCATTATGTAGTTAATAACAAAAGATATACGACGTGTTTTTGGCTGTGAGACGTAGTTTGGACTAAGTTTTCGGCGATTCTTCCAATAATAAAATCATGCAATGTGAAAGTCCCTGTCGCCGATCCATCTTGCAGTGTAAACAAAGCAGCGACGAAATGCTTGCCCAGATAGTCATGCAGTGTGAAAACATCTGTGAGACGACTACTTTGAAAATCATGCAGTCTGAACTCGGCATAAGAGATGTGAAGCAGGGTCTGTCACATACCACGACCACAGGAGGGCCGTTTTAACATACAAGCACAAGAAAAAAAGTGTAAACTTGACGTAACTGATGCACTCAGACATTCTTCCTCAGAGTATCAAAGCTCCTTCTTTCTCAAATGGTCAGATTTGCACAATCCATATACACCACGCTTTGGCTTGTTTCCCTCACTCGAAAACTTGACAGACCTCCTGCACGCAAGCTATGGTTGTTGAGCCACGATTGTTGTGTGGCGGTTTTCAGGTGTGGCTTAGCGAAGGGTCAATTGTTTTTATTTATTGGCGCTGGAGACACTGAGGCACAAGCTGTAAAAACTCGGCCCACTTTTCTGTTCATTTGCATTTAAAGATACAGTATGTTTTTGCCTACACCCAAAAGAATGCATTTTAGCATAGTGTAATAAATAAATAAATCTGTGTTGTGTTTTGAGTTCCTAAGAGCTTTATTACATCTTGTAAACAGCCATAATATGACACCTGTGTATCGCCTTCCATTGTATTTAAAGAGCCTTGACCTTACGGCGGTGGGAAAATAAACCCGCACTTCCTTCATGATGATTTATAAGCTTGTCATCGCCGCAAACCAGATGCAACCTAATTAACACAGCCACAATCTCTCTCTCTCTCAGCTTTTCTAACACTACATTGATTCTTCATAACCAGGGCCGGAGTGGGACTCCTTTTCAGCCCTGGAGTTTCAAGCATTAGACTGGCCCACCTTAGTTTATGACTGACTATATTAAAATAAGTTAATAATTAATTATAATGTTAATTATTATAATCACGTCTTTTTCAAGATAACAGCTGCTTTAGAACTTTAAGGGCTCTATTTTGACGGTCCATGCACAAAACAGAAAGCGCAGGGCGCAAACGCTTTCAGGGCTTGTCAGAATCCATATTTGCTAATTTAAGGACGGGAAATTCCGCTTTGCGCCATGGCGCATGGTTTAAAAGGGTTGAGTTTATTTTCTTAATGAGTTATAGGTGTGTTTTGAGAATAAACCAATCAGAGTCTCATCTCCCATTCCCTTTTAGAGCCAGCTGCATCGCGCCAAGAGCGCATTCGCTATTTACAGGACGCAAAGTAAGTCTAAGTGGAAAAACTGAGCATTTCACAAGCAAACAGTTAACAATTTTTTTTTTTTTTACAGAAAACAGTTAAACAGAGCATCTACTGCGCGAGAATGAGAGATAATGGATCTACTTTCACTTTCGCTCTTGCATAGGGAAACCTTTACGCACAGACATCAATTAGTCTATAAATAATTAATTCCGTTTGTTAAGCGCAAATATTCGTTTCAAAACTATTTCTAAACTCAGTTCTAATTTCCAGAAAACGAATAAATGAACAATAATAATGAAGTGTGCTCAAAAACCTGAGTTATATCCTAAAACACATGCTGTGCCCCATATGGTCTAAAACCTGACAGGTGGGCAAATCTAAGCTTGTTTTTAATAAAACAAATATAAATATGGATATAATAAATAATCCTGCTAATAATAATAACATTATACAAAAGCAAATTGTTATGAATGAACTGAAAAAGCCTCCCGAGATGAAGAAAGATTCAATGCAGTGGTTTTCATATTCATGTAGGCTAAAAATAATATGTTTTGTAATATTTTAATCCTTTATATTTATATGCTATATCTATTCTTATTATATCCTATATATATCCTTAATATTTTAATTTTTTCATATGTAAAGATATTTGCGTATTGCTCTACATCTTGTGTGTAGGCTATTAAGCAGTGCGTAAGCGAGGCGCAACTCTGCGCTGGAGTTTAGACCGGGTTTGTTTTGGTCTAATGAAAAATCTATTATAGTTTCTCAAAATAGCAACGCGCCAGCAGTGCGCCTCAGAACACCTTCCTTTTTAGACCAGAACGCCTATGGGCGCACATATGAGCGCTAATGCATTTGCTAATTAAAGAGCGTAGCGTAACGCCTCAAAATGACTCTAACGCCAAGCTGAAACTAGCAAACAAGTACTGCGCCATGCCTTGTGCCATTGCTCCGGGTATATGATAGGGCCCTAAATGTTCGACAACCTTACAGTTTTATGTCTTAACAATAAAAATAAAAAAAAAATAAAAAAATTCCTCAGGAGAGGATTGAACACGGATCGACGACGTCGTAACGCAACGTGCTGACCACTGGACCACAATGGCGCTGTTACGCCTGTGTGGCCGGAATGATAGTTACATCATCATTAACCTGCAGGCTGCATTTTGCTCATGGGGCTGCGAGACAATAAATAAGAAGAGCGGAGCTGCGGCAAAATAATAAATAAAAAGAGTGAGGCTATAGTCAAATAAAAAAATACATGAAAAAAAAAGTGCAACTGCTGAGAGTGCAAGCAGCTAGAAACACAGGCCCTCGCGGCCAAAAAAACGGACCGACCCACCGGGAACTCTCCCAGTCCTCCCAATTGGCCAATCCGGGCCTGTTCATAACGCAGTTAAAAGCTGCACCTTTATCTGAGCAAACAGAAGAACGCTTCCTTTTTTACACTTGGGAATTTCTCTAAGAGCTTCAGTCAACAAGTGAACAATCATAAAATGCATTATGGATAAAGAAGACTCATGCAACAATTCAAGAAGAAACGTTGATCATTTCATGAACTCCACACTGTTATTTCTTATGATGTTCTTATTGAAAGGAATACTTTTATGTTCACAGACAGAGGCACAGACTTATTTGATAAAAAAATACAGTAAAAAGAGGAATATTGTTATTAAATATTATCACACTTTAAAAGAACTGTGTTGTGTTTGAATATATTTTAAAATTAAATGTATTCCTGTTGCTAAAAGTTGAATTTTTTACATCATTACTTCATAGCATTATTATTTTAGTGTCTCAAGATGCTTTATAGTATGTTGATTTAACACTTAAGAAAGATTTCTTATTATTATCAATGCTGTAAACTAGTGCTGCTTGAAAAAGAGCATGTCATTCCAATTGTAATCATACCTTTAAAAACACTTTGTGCAAGTTTTTTAGATTGTTCTACTGAAAAAAATCACCTATATATTTGATGATCTGTGGGTGAGTAAAGAAAAAACTACCTTTTTAATCCAAAATCAAACTTCTTATCCTAAAAATTTACACACTTATCTTGTTTAGTAATGACTTACAGTAATTGATATTATTCATAAAGAGAATATTTGAGCACAGTGGGCAAACTTTTTTTCTACCTAACATTCATTCATTTTCCTTCAGCTTATTCTCCCTTAATTTATCAGGGGTCACCACAGCGGAATGAACCGCCAACTTATCCAGCATATGATTCAAGTAGCGGATGCTCTTTAGCACAACCCAGTACTGGGAAACATCCATACACTCTTGCACTCCACTATCCAACAATTAAATGCAAATAACACATTTCTTGGTAATTTCCGTGGGAACAACATACAGGAAGGTTTAAACAGAATTACGAGAATAAAATTGTAACCGTTAAAACATGAGTCACGGCTCACACATCTTATCAGAAGTTTACCTAAAATGCCTACAGCCTTTTATTCTCCAGAACTCACTATTGTGAAACATATATGGAGTATTCCTGACAAAAAACAAACAAACACATAAGGAAATAAACCACAGTTGGGTTCTTATGTGTTTGTTACAAGTGAGTTCCAGAGAAAAATGGACTCCTGAAAAACCTGTTCTGTGTAATATGAAGGAAACTGCTTAAAAATATAATTGTTACAAGAACAAAAATGCATTAATGTGTACAGTATTTTGTCTTTATTTTGTATCCTATGTTGTTTGTGATTTTTGGCATCATGTGTGTGCATCTGTTTGTGTGTGTTCTTACTTAATGGATGAGCTCTTGTTAAGGGCCATCTGCTTGTCCTCATATTCCTGCAGAAGCTCTTCCAGAGCAGCTGCATTTTCTGTTACACACACATTAAGAAGCATTAAAGAAGCCATATTGTGCTTTTAACACTTCCAACCTTATTTAAAGAGTAAAGTTGCCGTTTGAGCATGAAAAAAGATCTGTAAAGTCACTTCATAGGGAATTATGTGTTACATCTTGAATTCTTATAATACTGTATTGTCATATTATACAGCTAAGTCAGAATTATTAGCCACCCTGTATTTTCCCTTAATTTCTGTTTAACACAAAAAAGACACATTTCTAAACATAATAGTTTTAATAACTCGTTTCTAATAACTGATTTCTTTTATCTTTGCTATGATGAGAGTACATAACACTTAACTAGATATTTTTCAAGACACTACAAGATAAAACCCAATAAGTTAAGGTAACTCAAATGCTTTGAGGAAACCAACTGCGGCTAACCATTTAGGTTTTGAAACAAAATGCTTTAAGTACTGTAAACCTATTTAAATATTGAGTCATGCACACATATATTATTTGTGCAGATATCATCAAACCTTTAGAGTAATAGTAACTCAAACATTTTAAGTTCAGTTATAAAATCGGTTTGAGTTCAGTTACAACTACGTAGCTGCTTAAATGGTTTAGTATTGCTTCTAGCATTAGAGTTAACAAAAAAATGTAATTACTTATTTCATAACTCATTAGGTTTGAGCTCTGCTTAATCAAATTATTTTATGGATTACCATAACTCTTTTAAATTAAGTCAAAGTAACTTTTAAGAAAATTAAAAGTTAAAGTAACTTATTTCATTAAGTTGTTTTCACTGTTTTACAGTGTAGTGTGCACCTTAAAGTGACATTTAAAGGCTTAACTAGGTTAATTAGGCAAGTTAGAGCAATTAGGCAAGTCATTGTATTTTGAAGATTTGTTGTGTAGACAATCAAATAAAATATTGCTTAAGAGGGCTAATAATATGGAGCTTAAAATGGTTTTAAAAAATTAAAAACTGCTCTCATTCTAGCCGAAATAAAACAAATAAGACTTTCTCCAAAAGAAAAAAAAATATTATAGGAAATACTGTGAAAATTCCCTCCTCTATTGAAACATAATTTGGGAAATATTTTAAGTAAAAATTGTCAGGAGGGTGAATAACTTTGACTTCAGCTGTATATATGGTCATATATTCCTAGCCGAAAAGATTCTGAGGGCAATCAAAATGTAAGTAAAAATCTTACAAAATGCTGGCAGTGGATGGCAACTTTTTAATAACATAGGCAAAACCATATTTATAAATCATAATTCTAAACTGACACGACTTTAGAAATGATACAGATTTTATTTGTTGTTGATGGAGCAACTGAGGCAAAAGCTGTAAAAGCTCCTCCTTCTTCTGGAAAGGCGGTGGAAGCAGAAACTCATTTACATTTAAAGAGGCACACACAAAAACAGCACCTAGCCAAAAAGGGGCATTTAAAGCATGGTATTATAACATGATCCCTTATGTATTTAGGGCTGAAACTTCACAAAAGCATTCTTAAGACACCTGAAAGGCATATTATATGGAAAACAGACACCACACACCTTTCTTTTCTGTGATGAGCCGCACTAGAATGCTAATGGTGTCTTCATTGGGGTCATCAACAATGTATGGACAAGGGTTTCCTGAGGAGAGAAAGAGAAAAGTTTATAGAGAGAAGTTTGTAGACTTTCTGTGACATTTGATCCAGATTTTTATTTTAAAGCCAATAAATGTATTTGAACATTTGACATTAGTGAGCAAATTGAATATCACTGTCTGATTTAACCTCAACGTTTGCAAAAATAAACTTTATTTTGTCATTTTTATGTTGCTTTTGTATAATTTTGGATAAGTAAAATGCTGTCCCTTTTTATTGTTCTTCTCTTTTATATAATATATCATAAAAAAATTTCAAGCAAAAAAAATTTAGTTTCTTTTTATTAAAAGTAGAAAAACGTATATAAATTTAGAAGGACAAATTCACATGTAAGTCTGTTTTTCTTCATTTTTATCATTAAAACTGTCAAAAATATTATCTAGTTATTAAAACAAAAATAGACAAAATACAAATATTAGATGAAAAACTTATTAAAATAATAAATATTAGAAATCTTGCCTTGGGATTTAACTGTAATAAATATAAGTGTACTGATGTTGCTAATATTACTACTGAAAATGCTGAAATTAGTACTAAAGTTGCTGAAAATAGCACTGAAAATGCTAAAATTAGTACTGAAATTGCTGAAATTAGTACTGAAAATGCTGAAATTAGCACTGAAATTGCTGAAATTAGTACTGAAATTAGTACTGAAATTGCTGAAATTAGTACTAAAATTGCTGAAATCAGTACTGAAATTAGTACTGAAATTAGTACTGAAATTGCTGAAATTAGTACTGAAAATGCTGAAACTAGTACTGAAATTAGTACTGAAATGCTGAAATTAGTTCTGAAATTAGTACTGAAAATGCTGAAATTAGTTCTGAAATTAGTACTGAAAATGCTGAAATTAGCACTGAAAATGCTGAAATTAGTACAGAAATTGCTGAAATTAGTACTGAAATTAGTACTGAAATTGCTGAAATTAGCACTGAAAATGCTGAAATTAGTACTAAAATTAGTACTGAAAATGCGGAAATTAGTACTGAAAATGCTAAAATTAGTACTGAATATAGTACTCAATATGTTGAAATTAGTATGAAATTATTGAAATTGCTCAAACAAATCAATATAAAAGATGAAAAATTACAAGAACATTCAAAAATACTAAATATATTCATTCATTCATTTTCCTTTCGGCTTAGTCCCTATATTAATTAGAGGTCGCCAAATCGGACTGAACCACCAACTTATCCAGCATATGTTTTACACAGCGGATGCCCTTCCAGCTGCAACCCATCACTGAGAAACATCCATACACTCTTTCATTCACACTCATACACTAGGGCAAATTTAGCTTGTTCTGTTCACCTATAGTGCTTAGACTGTGGGGAAAACCAGAGCACCCGCCAAACCCATGCCAACACGAGGAGAACAACTCCACACAGAAATGCCAACTGACCCAGCCAGGGGTCGAACCAGCAACATTCTTGCTGTGAGCACAAAAAACTAAATATTTATTTTTATTTTACAAATGTAAAAAAGTCAATTCAAAATATAAATACATACTACAAAAGTATATATATATACTTATATATATATATATATATATATATATATATATATATATATATATATATATATATATATATATATATATATATATATATATAATACTAAAATACTACTCTTTGAATGTGATTAAAAATAAAAAGACTTGAATATACAGGGAAAATAAACAGACAAATATTTAATGTGACAGACCGGTTTTGTGAGATTCACCCTGAACAAACATGAATTTAAGCTCAGGAATTATTTCAAACACTACTGTAGGTGTGTATTTGTATTGACACGATGCCGTCTTCATAATGAAGAGCTATTTTTAAAGAGCTTAACAGAACAGGAGCCACTGCGTCCTCATTAAACACATCCATGTGAGTTAAAAACACACCCGTTCATCATCAATCACGAAAGGTACAGTAGGATTGGTATCGCAACAAAAATGCTGTCACGCCACTGCAAAAACAACAAAAGTCCATCTCGAGAGCCACTGACTGGCACAGGGGACTTAGTGTGCATTTGTAAGCTTCTCTATGGTGAATGGAGAAATCCCAGAGTTCCAGAGTGAAGTGCTGATAAAAAGGAGAGGACAACTCATTACTGTCATACTGATGTCACACAGGGGTTGGGGTAATAATATTGACCTTTTCAGTTTTTACATTGTTTCCCAGCCAAATTCAAAGAAATAAACCTTTTCCAGAAGAAAAATATACTACATATAACAAGTTTGTCTTCAACTGTACATCCCAGAAAAAATCAACTAGATTAAGCCAGGACTAGGCCTTAGTTAAATAAGGCTATTTAAGACACATTTATAAAAATGGCCTTAGACAAATATTACTGGTGTGCACCTGGGCCCGGTTTTTCAAAAGTAATCCACTAGGATTTTGGATAAGGGATTGGATCAAATCTTGAAAATGGGTTTTTCAAATGAAAAAACGGATTAAGTAATCGGATTAGATCACGTAATCCAATCTTGGTTTTGATCCGGATCAAACCTTTAGTTTGGGTTTTTTAGACCTTTTTTGTAGGATCTAGATCAGTTTGATCCAAAAACCCTGGATTAAACTGATCCCATCACAAGGGTGGATTTAGCGTGGATTTCATGCCTGAAATGTAATGAAAACTTAAAAAATGTATTAAATAATACTATTTTTGGATCATGCAGTATCTTACGAGATATACTTTTTATTCATAAGGTTTTAATTTTATTTGTTCATCTGTCAGGCTATAGTGAGTATAGGTTTTAACGTATTCAGCCTTTCAGTATAGGCCTACAGCAAAGTAGAACGAGTTTGGCCTCATAAAATAATCCCCCAAACAGCTGTCAAAACTGACCAAAAACAATACATTTTATTCTGTCACTAATTGATATATATATATTCATCACAATGGAAAATATTTTTCTTTTTAGAATATTTATTAGTGATGCATGCAATGATTACAGAATAACAAAAAAAAATTGCAAAGAATGGCAATCGCTGATTTTTTAAATCACTTTCAACAATTGCAAAAAGAGACTTAAAGGGCAGAAGCACAGCTTCATCTGGCAGAGAAACAACCGACTCTAACCAAACTGCAGCAAACCAAGGCCAATGACTTGAGATTCGCCTCCAAAAGGCTACGCTCAGACAAGCTGGTCTCTCCACATCAGATGAGGAAGTCTGAAATTATTGTGGAGTTTTTGACATTAAGTCTTTTTTTTTTAATTTACATCTATATTTGAAACTTATTATAAATATCCTCAATGTACAGTGTTATAGGTCTCAGATGAGCGGACTGCTGAAAGAGGATGGGGTGGGGTTTTTCTTGTTTTTATTATTTATTATTATTATTATTTTAATAATTATAAAATTTTCTTTAGTTTTTATTTAAAATAAAAATAAAGTTATATTGGCCCCACGCTGGCTATACTACTTGTTGCTCTTTACATATCTATAGTTCTACATTGTGATGTCCTATGCTGTTTGAGCACTGCATGGTTATCCAGATTTAGTGATCCTGAAAAGTTCCTATCCGGATCAGATTGATCCAATCCGATGTTGCTTTGAAAAACTGGCTCAAAAAGTAAGCTGGATTACGTGATCACGGATCGCAAAAACAGGATTACTAAATCTGGATCAATTTTATCCGGGTTAAACCTTTTGAAAAACCGGGCCCAGGAGACAAAAAAATGACACTCACATATTTTAAGACATCGCACCGCAAGTTACTTTGAGTTGAAACAGCTCAAACATGCAATTTAATCCTGACTAGCCTTAAACCTTGTTTGTGAAACCGAGGCAAAGACTATTAACAGGGTTAGGGCTAGGGTTATCTCAAGACATTTTGTAACATTAGTCTTATTTATAACATCCATTTTTTTTTGCCCTCATGCCAGTACATGATGTTATTTGTAAGATATTCAATTTAAAGTGCAGTTTTAAGGCTTAACTAATTAGGTTAACTTGGTTAACCACGCAAGTCATTGGACAACTGTGGTTTGTTCTGTAACCAATAATATTGACCTTTTAAATTTTTTTACATGGTTTCCCACACAAACTAAAAAAATTTACTTTTTCCAGAAGGAAAATCTACCAGATTAAACAATTTTGTCTTCTACTGTACATCCCAGAAAAACAGAAACAATCAAAATAAACAGAAACATAAATGCACTAGCTCATACGGCAATGCTAACAAAGCTGATAATCAAATAACCCAATGAGAACACATTTATCAGATATCAAATTAAGGTTAGGGTTATATCTCATTGCTGAAATTCTTAGTCAAGGTAGATGTGCTTTAAAACAAAGTGCTCATGTAATCATCAGAAAAAGTGCCTAGAACTGAAGATTTATTTTAGACAGAAATCGACAGGGGATTCTGACGTAACACCAGCAGCCTCTGACTGCAAACGCCTTCACTTTGTTCAATGCTTTCGACCCCTTTAAAACCCCAGAGAGTTTGTTTCAACTGGATGTGTTCACCTGCTGGACGAGTGCTGGATCAGACCCAGAATTACACACAACACAAGCTTTCAGAGCCTTTCATTATTAAACAGTTCATAGCTATGGTATATCTTGTGATATTTTCATTGCTGCGTGTTCCCGAGGCTTCTTACATAATCGCTTCACCATGTCACCCAATAGGCTATTTTCTGCCCCTGAGAATATAAGGAGAATTCGAATAGAGAACATGTGTGTAGAGATGTGTCATATTGTCATTTCATTTTGTAACAGTATCAGAATTTCTGTTCTAAAGAAATGCATACTTGAAATACATTACGAAGCCTCTCATATAGAGATCTGGGCAATTTTTAATTTAAATATCAATTCTCACTATTAACTACTGGCTTATTAACCTGCCTATTATTATTTATTAGTACATATAGAGTATGATCTTATTCTACATTTCTAATTCTACCCAATACCTAAACCTAACTAGCTTAATAAGTATTAAAAAGACGCTGATTATGATTGTTTTTTAGCTAAAAGTCATAGTTAATGGTTTGTTAGCCGAAGCACCCGAAGGAAACACACGCCAACACGGGGAGAACATGCAAACTCCACACAGTAATGCCAACTGACCTAGCCGGGACTCAAACCAGTGACCTTCTTGCTCTGAGGTAACAGTGCTAAAAACTGAGACACCATGTCGATACTAAAATCATAACATACTCACTAAATACTATTTGTTTTGTTGTTTTTGTTTTTGTTTTGCACATCCCGAAGCCTAGTTTTCGGTGTTTGCTTATTGGGTGAGTGTGAATCAGATATAACTGACATTTTGTCTGAACTAGTCAACAGTGCATCTCCAAGCAGAGAACAGACTAAATTATTGATTTGAAGAAAGAAGATACAGAGGGAATGTATCGCTGCTCAAAGATACATGAAGAAATGATAGAAAGTTTTAGCAACCATTTGACAACCATTGCACATTTTCACAAACAAAGAAACATAACAATCAGTTTCTTTATATACAGAACAGTTGAAGTCAGAATTATTAGCCCCCTGTTTATTTTTTCCCCCAATTTCAGTTTAATGGAGAGAAGATTTTTTTCAGCACATTTCTGAACATAATAGTTTTAATAACTCATCTCTAATAACTGATTTATTTTACCTTTGCCCTGATGACAGTCAATAATATTTGACTAGATATTCTATGCAGCTTAAAATGACATTTAAAGGCTTAATTAGGTTAATTTGGTTAACTAGGCAGGTTAGGGGAATTAGGCAAGTTATTGTATAGTATAATGACGTTGTTTTCTGGAGACTATTGAAAAAATATAGCTTAAAGGGGCTAACAATTTTGTCTTTAAGGTGGTGTTTAAAACATTTAAAACTGCTTTTATTCTAGCTGAAATAAAACAAAAGACTTTCTATAGAAGAAAAAATATTATCAGACATACTGTGAAAATTTCCTTGCTCTGTTAAAAATCATTTGGGAAATATTTAAAAAATCAAAGAAACCAAAGGGGGCTAATAATTCTGAGTTATTTATTTTTTTATATTTATTTATTATATTTATTATATTTATACATTTTTGTTTATTTTCTTTACTATATGTATGTTTATTTGATCATGTTTAGGCTCATTGGTCAAAATAAACAAATAAAAAACACAAACCATTTGAAATCTTTAATCATTAGCTCATTCTAATAGTCCATACATAAATCTGATTTATGGCCATATATAAACATTTATATATAAAATTATAGCTAATATATTTAACATACAGTACGCACATATTTCTAAATTGAGTGGTTGAAAAAATATATATTTAACTGGCCATTTTTGTAATAATTTGAAATATATGTTGCATATATGACATATTTTATATATGTAAAATCCAAAAATGAACTTGCATGTCTTATTTGCATATATTGTCATATATCTGAGTTAGCATTTTATTTAAAAAAAAAATTTTATACATGTTTAATATGTATTTGATAGATTTTATTTGATAATTACAATTAAACAGTATTTTTTAGAAGTGAGCGACATACTTAATAATGTCAGTTCACACACTGATTAAAAAAAAAATAATTAATTAATTAATTAAAAATATAAATATAAAAAAGTTTAATAAAATAAATAAAAATAAAATAAAAATAAAATAAATTTTCTGTAGTGTAGTGTTTCCCAGAGATGGGTTGCTGCTGGAAGGGCATGCGCTGCGTAAAACATTTGCTGGATAAGTTGGCGGTTCATTCCGCTGTGGCGACCCCAGATTAATAAAAGGACTAAGTTGAAAAGTAAATGAATGAATAAATGATCTAAGAGCCAATCACACAGCAGAAATGTGCAATTTTCGGGCACCAAAAATGTATCTAAAACATGCAATGCCATTTAATGGACCCTCAAATTTTTGTGGCTTCAGTCATTGTTGGGGTAATCTTTTAAATCTGGAAGCATTAACAACTGATATCGAAATAAATAAATATCATTATCGTTTAATATGGAAAATAATTATCCAGATAGCATTTTTGCCATATCGCCGAGCCCTAATTATACAACATTTCAATTTAAATATCTTCAACAACCTCTATTACGTATACTGGCATGAGGGGGGGCGGTATAAACCTGTCAATCAAGATCAACCTGTCAATCACTGTCAATCGACTGACCTGTCAATCACAACGACTAAAAGCAAACCACAACCATCCAAAAAACACCATTTAACCAAAATCCTCCAACATCTGTTCTCTCATTGTAAGCCATTTCATGACATCTTACAAATACATCACAGTCTCCATCGTGTATATATACGTTCAGATTATTTATTACTCATGACCCTAGCAAATTCTGACTTGAAGTGACTTTTATTCAGCCAGCATTATTTCTTTTTGACCGAAATGACCCGTGCTTCTCCTATAAGATAATGAGGTAAAAAAAGTGTCAGTCTTGAAGAAATACTAATTTCGGGTTTGACTGTAACTAACTTCCTTTATCATTGTAATTCTGCTAAACCCAAACAATTCTGTCAGCTGAACAAAAGCCCCAAATCCGGCTGCTCTGCTGTGTTTACTCAGCTGGTAAACATGCAGTGATTAAGGTGTCATTTACCCCGCTTTACAGGCAGAACCTGAATCATCATAAACCCGTGTCACTGTACTACTGTAGTTCATCACAACAGCTGCGCCTCCACCCACTGATACAAATGCAGAGAAACAGACACAAGCTCTCATTGTGGACAGTCATTTTGCTTAGTTTCACTCTGAAATGGGGATTTTAGTGAAACAATCAGGCCTCTGTTGTGCTCATATTAGAGTTTTAAATGGCTGTATTTAAAGATAAGCTATTTGCACTGAAGTATATGCTTGACTGTTTTGATTGCTCTTCTTTCCAGGAGTTTTAATTAAAAGGTTTCTTGATTGACTGCATCAAGTTTAAGATAAAAGAAATCAATATTTAAATTTGAGATCAAGTAAATCAGTCTTATTTTATATTCGGTGACCTTGTACTTACACTGAAATTAATGATTTAGTACATTGTACTTATTGTGCAAATACCTGTTTTTATCCTTAAAGCTATATATCCATACCACCAAATCTGTCCCTAACCCTACCTTAACTGAACCAGGGGTGGACTGACTATAGAGAAAAATTCAGCCCTGGCCCTGTAGCCACACCACACCAACACAACCACCCCATGGACATGCACATTCACTACTTATAATGGTGTACATATGGTGAAATAATATAGGCAGTACCATATCATATGTAATAGATAATTAAACATTTAATGTATGTGACTGGAACAAAAACAACCTGTTTATAACACTATCTGTGAATCTTGTAAAGTCTGTGTAAAGTGCTGTCCCTTTATACCTTCTAATGCCCTCAATAGAAAGACTGAAATTACTATAGAAATGGGCCACTTGTTCAATAAATGCCAAATTCTAGGGACACTCCTAGCAAAGCAAATAAACAAACATTTGTCATGACCTGTCACTCAAAAGCACCTTGCTATTTAGCTGCTTAACTTAAAATATAGCCAAATTACATTTCTTGAAACCTTTCTTTCTGTATAAGCTGTTTACAGTTGAAGTCTGAATTATTTGCCCCCCCCTGTTTATTTTTTTCCCAATTTTCTGTTTAACAGAGAGCAGATTTTTTAAACACATTTCTAAGCATAATAGTTTTAGTAACTCATCTCTAATAACTGATTTATTTTATCTTTGCCATGATGACAGTAAATAATATTTGACTAGATATTTTTCAAGACACTTCTATACAGCTTGAAGTGACATTTAAAGGCTTAACTAGGTTAATTTGGTTAACTAGATAGACTAGGGTAATTAGGCAAGTTATTGTATAACAATGGTTTGTTCTGTAGACTATAGAAAAATATAGCCAAAAGGGGCTAATAATTTTGTCCAAAAAATTGTGTTTAAAAAATTAATAACTGTTTTAATTCTAGTCGAAATAAAACAAATAAGAGTTTCTCCAGAAGAAAAAATATTATCAGACATATACTGTAAAAATGTCCTTGCTCTATTAAACATCATTTGAGAAAAATTTTTAAAAAGACAATAAAATTCAAAGGGGGGCGAATAATTCTGACTTCAGCTGCATTTTGTCATTCTTTTAACAATTAGGCTCACTGTTGATTATACAGATTTATATTTTAAATGCAGACTTTTAAGTAATGAGCTGTTCATCTTCTGTGATTGTGGTCATCTTTTCGTAAAAACAGTGATATTTCAGTTGCATCCACTCCGACATTAAAAAAATATAGTAGTAATTTAAAGCAATACTGTAGTCTTTAGATGCCTATTATAAAAACGGCTATTTAAATTCTATAGTTGCTATGGTATCACAACAATAAGCATAATTCAATGCTGAAAAAATTGTTCAAAACACTATAATATTTACTATAAATTACCATAGTAATTTTTTCTTGAGGTTTTTCACCTATGATGAAAAAAAAACGTGACTGCGATCTCCGTCACTGGTGACATTTCCAGCCAGTAAAACAGCGAGATTTGGGAAGTGTCCGACCGACTTCGGATGCATTTTTTGAGCCCTCCTCTTACTGCAGCCGGCTGCTCCATCAGCTGTTTTCATGCTGTCAGCTTTGCATTTAGTTAAATATATTATTACATAAACTATTAAAACTCAGAACAATGTTTTGTGTCTAATTTGTATGTTTTGTGACTAGTAGCCATGTAATAAGCAGAATAAAGTACATCCAGGACGGCTGTTTTTCTCAGAATAAACCCTTCAATCTTATGCAACAGCGTTTATACTGTTATACTTTAACCCACTTTTACCTGACCAATATTTTAAAGTACGTCCAATAAAAGTATTACTTTAAACAACACCAATGCTTAATCTTCATTACTTTAGTAGCCATTTTTTTACAGACGCACACATATATATATATATATATATATAAATATTCAGGGCTGTGATTGTGTTTTGTACCTTCTTTCTGTGGAGTAGCAGCTTCTGCATCCATGCCGTCTTTCTCAGCGCTGCATCGGTAGCCCTTCTTCTTGAGGAGGTTGCAGATGAGGATTCCCAGCAGCCCCATCACGCAGAAAACAGGCACCAGAGCAAACACTGCGTACTCCGTAGTTTTCTCCTCTGGAGCCTGAACGCTGGTGGTGTTTCCAGATCCAGCTCCAGCCCTGATGGAGGTGCCCTTAACAACGTTTCGTCTCCGCCGGCTGTGCGGCTCTGCAGATTCAACACAAAACAAGATCTCAATGCTCTTTCTGCTGTATTACTATTTATAATAGCTATTGATTTACAAATAGTGACATTATATTATAATAACACTAGGGTGTAAAACTATGACTCGATCAGATTACCAATAAAAATAAAAATATTGCATAAAATATCAAATAAAATATCGATATCTACATAATTACTTTTATTATTTCATTTTGAAAAAAAAAATACTTTTATTTTAACACTCTCCACTATATTTTATGTTATAATTTTTTTAATTTTTTTTTTTTGGTGGATCATACATGATGCATAATCATCATAATGTAATGTTCTTACTAAAAATAAATCAGCCACATAATACCTCAACATCAATTCATCAATAAATATTCCACTAAATCTAACGTAAAATCATATCACAGAGTTTTTTGAAAGGAAAAGTTCACCCAAAACTGATTACAAATAGTAACAGACTTTTATATTATAATTAGTGGTGTAAGACTATTTTACAAACAAAAATAAAATAGCGCAAAAGATATTGCAAAATAACCAACTCAAGCTCATTCTGAAAACGTAGCCCCACGGACATTTCTGGAGACCCCGATTTACGTGGCCGGAGATAGGTATGGCTGCATTTTGTTTTTTTAAGCGAACGCTACGGGGCGGTTTGACGCCGGTCCTCTTCATGCTCGCCGGCTGACGGCTCACCTCCTCCATGTGGAGGGCTTTCCCGCCGCAACCAGTTTGTCCGGTTAGCTCATCGTGTTACGTCGGCGGAGCGGAGGCCAGGCCAGAAGGAGGAGCCGGCCGCGGCAACAACTGGGTTCGAATTCGGGGAAGAGCGGTTCCAGAAATCAGGCAAGACAAAAAACAGAATCCAAAAAGTAAAGCGAATTGTCATAACAGGGTGAAAATGCGGTGAAATTTGAAAACGCGGTCAAAATCGGACGAGGGCTTTTCTTTTTCTAGATGGCTTTTGTAAATTGTTGCCTGGATTTAGGGAAGGAGGAGGGTGGTCAACCGTTCAGTCATTCAGTCAGTCGGACAGACGGTCGCTCGACAGAGGCCTCCGTCAGCTTTTTATGCGAGAACAGCGCAGGTGCAAATGGCGCGCGTTCGCGAGAGGCATTTGAGACGCAAAAAAGCATGCACAGCGGCCTCTCGTGGATTTGCGAAAACAAAAACTGCACAAATATGCACCTCCCAGGGCGTATTTCGCGGTCTCCAGAAACGTCTGCAGGACTACGTTTCCAGAATGAGCCTGGGATCAATGCCTCCATAATTAGTTTTTTATTTCATTTTTAAAAAAAATATTCCTTTACTATGCTATCCACTATTTTTCTTTATTATTTAAAAAACTAAAGTGAATTTTTTTGCTGATCATACATAATGTGCAATCCTCATAATTTAATGTTCTAATTAAAAATAAATCAGCCATTTAAGTTCAAATATACAATTATTAATTTAATAAACAAAGAATTGATTTAAATGTACTGTTTTATATTTTATATAACCTGTGCTGTTTGATTTATATAAAAAAATGCTACCACCATGTACCATTAAAGACAATGGTAAAGAATAAGAAAACCATTTTACATGCGGAGTCAAACTAAGTTATAGTAAAATAGACAATAAATTAGTATACATTAGCACCATAAACTGCTCGTCAAGCGAATGCAAAATGTACATAATCGAACATGAATACTACCGAATTCAAATATTTATGGAGCATCATATTTGTTCTGAGCATTTTTTTGTTTGTGAACAGAGTGAACAGGTTTGTGGTGTAGTTTGTTTGGCAGAACATCATGTTTAAATGCTGAACACTTACTCCTGACGCAGGCGTGGAGGGTGGAGGGCCTCCGTGTAGCAGCAGGGTGAAACCTGAAAATAAATAAGCCAGTTCAGAAATACACCCATGATTTCCATTTCAATCCTTTTTGGACATTATTGATGCTTACTGGTTTGTAAGTTCTAATGAGTTACAGTTCAAATAATTCCTCTGCAAAATGATTGGATAAAAAATTTGCCAATTTAGTTTTTGAAAGTTATTCTTGTGCAAATACAGCGATGAAAATGAGTATTGCACACATTTCTAAAGGTGCTGCTGACTTGAAATTTTCAACAGATGTTGGTAACAACCAAATAAATCCATATATACAAATCTAATTAGTTCACAATCTAAGTTCTGTGTAATAAAATGAAATGACACAGGGAGAAAATACTGAACACATGAAGAAAGGAGGTGTAGTCTGGCAGTTAAAGCTCAGACAGTAGCTGAAATCTCTCAGTAGTTCTTCAGCAACCCTCTGCCTTCCTCAGCTGCTTTAGTCCAACATCTACATTAGCAAGAGGATGACGATGAAACCAGGGTGGACATTTCAGCAAGACAATGATCCAAAACACAGCCAAGGAGACTCTCAAATGCTTTCAGAGAAAGAAAATCAAGCTGTAGAATGGCCCAGCCAATCACCTGACCCGAATCCAGTAGAGAATACAGAATAAAGCTCAGATTCGATAGACGAGACACACAGAAGCATCAAGATTTTGACACTCTGTTGAAGTCTGTGAAAACCTCACACCTAAACAATGCATGTGACTTCATTCTCCATATGAGAATGAGCCTACGTCTTTAGGCTGTTATCATTAAAAAAGCCTTTTATATAAAGTATTAAATACATTAATTAGTTCTGTGCTTTCTCCTTTGGTCATTTTCATGATGTTTTTGTCTTGTTTAATTAATTAATTAATTAATTTATTTATTTGTTTATTTTTGTAATTGTTTAACCAGGAATGTCTCATTGAGATACAATGGGCTCTATTTTGACGGTCCGTGCGCAGAGCGCAAAACGCAGGGCGAAAACGCTTTCAGGGCGTGTCAGGGCGCGTTTTTGCTAAATTAAGGACGGGAAATCTGCCTTGCGCCAAGGCGCATGGTCTAAAAGGGTTGAGTTTATTTTCTTAATGAGTTATAGGTGTGTTTTGAGAATAAACCAATTAGAATCTTATCTTCCATTCCCTTTAAGACCCAGCTGCGTCGCGCCAAGAGCGCATTCGCTATTTACAGGACGCAAAGTAAGTCTAAGTGGAAAAAATTAGCATTTCACAAGCAAACAGTTAACAGTTTTTTAACAGAAAAAAACAGAGCATCTACTGCGTGAGAATGAGAGATAATGGATCCCTTTCACTTTCGCTCGTGGATAGGGAAACCTTTACGCACAGACATCAATTAGTCTATAAATAATTAATTGCATTTGTTAAGCGCAAATATTCGTTTCAAAACTATTTCTAAATTCAGTTCTAATTTCCAGCAAATGAATAAATGAACAATAATAACAAAATGTGCTCAAAAACCTGAGTTATATCCTAAAACACATGCTTTGCCCCATATGGTCTAAAACCTGACAGGTGGGCAAATCTAAGCTTGTTTTTAATAAAACAAATATACATATGGATATAATAAATAATACTGCTAATAATAATAACATTATACAAAAGCAAATTGTTATGAATGAACTGAAAAAGCCTCCCGAGATGAAGAAGGCTTAAAAGCAGTGGTTTTTCATATTTATGTAGGCTAGAAAATAATATGTTTTGTAATATTTTAATCCTTTATATTTATATCCTATATCTATTCTTATTATATCCTATATATATCCTTAATATTTAAATTTTTTCATATGTAAAGATATTTGCCTATTGCTCTCTTGTGTGTATTAAGCAGTGCGTAAGCGAGGCGCAACTCTGGGCTGGAGTTTAGACCGGGTTTGTTTTGGTCTAATGAAAAATCTATTATAGTTTCTCAAAATAGCAGAGCGCCAGCGGTCCGCCTCAGAACACCTTCCTTTTTAGACCAGAATGCCTATGGGCGCACATATGAGCGCTAATGCATTTGCTATTTAAACAGCGTAGCGCAACTCCTCAAAACGACTCTTGCGCCAAGCTGAAACTACCAAAAGACTATTGCGCCACGCCTTGTGCCAAACTGCGCCGGGTGTATGATAGGGCCCAATATCTCTTCTACCAGGGAGTCCTGGTCAAGTCAGGCAGCATAGGACAAAGATACAAAAAAAATAAAAAATACATGTCACAACACATAAACACACACAAAAATAGTATAAATCAATAATTAAAACATGTGCACTGTTCTAAATTGACAGTGTTTAAAATATTTTTAAATATAGCGATAGATGGTACGGACTTCATATGTAGTATATTATGAAGCTCATTGCGTACATATGGAGTATTTTTAGAGAATGCAGATCGACCTAACTCTGTGTGAAAAAATGGCATCTTAAGTAAGAGTATATCTGCGGATATAGTATAGTAAGTAACAGTACTCCAACAAAGTTATGTTTGTATTGTTTGGGTTTTTACCAAACTCTGCTTCAATTCCATGTCAACAGCTCCTTTATAAACATTATTCCCAGGAGAAAACATGACCTGTTTAATACTTATTTTGCCCATGGTATATAAAACTAAAACTAAACTAATAAAGAGCCAAGCCCACATACTATTCACACCAGTTGTTACTATTGGAGTCTTGTTACAGTATGTAGGACAAGCTTTGTGAAGTGCTGTTTAAATGCAAATAAGCGGTTATCAATTAAAATAACCTCAGAATAACAGTGAAAGGATGAACACTGTAAAAAATGCAGGGTTCCACACAATCCCTTCACGTTTCCTCAAAACAAATCAATTTGGTTAATCGTCTTGGCAAATTTAAATGGATTGAATATAAAGCAATTAAGTTGTTACCCCAAAAACCTTATTGTGTTGATTTAACTCATTTTAAATAAGTCGTTTGAACAAGAAGCAACGAGTAAGTGTTTCGTGTTGTGTACCCGGGAAGGCATCCTCCACACACTGCGTCAGACGTTGAGGTTGGTTTGGTGGAGATCCATCGGTTGAGCGTCCCGCAGGAGGTTTGAGGGCGGCACGGCTCAGTGTCCTGACTGTCAGAGAAGGTTCCCGCTGGGCAGATCCGGCACAACCCGATCTCCCGGGTGCCCTCAGGTTCCCCACAGGCCTTACAGAAACAAAAACACAACAGGTCAGATGAGACACTCATAGACTGGGAAAGAACAAACTGTGCACATAGCATGGTGTCAAATTCACTGCAGAAATGTGTTAATATATACAGTTGAAGTCAAAATGAATAGCCCTTTCTTTTTTTTTAGACGTTTCCCAAATGAGTTTTTCACAGTATTTCCTATAATATTTTTTTTTCTCCTGGAGAAAGTCTTTATTAATTTATTTTATTTATTTATTTTATTTTATTTTGTCTAAAATAAAAGCAGTTTTAAAATTTTAAAACCATTTTAAGGTCAAAATGATTAGCCCCCTTAAGCAATATTTGCTATGATTGTCTACAGAACAAACCACTGTTATACAATGGCTTGCCTAATTAACTTATGCCGAATATGCTGAAGCATGCTGATAGGACTTTTAATTTGCCAGTACCCTGGGTTAAGCGCTTCCCGTGAACTGTATGCTAATGCAAAAATCTGTGCGTTTAAGGTCTTTTTTCTTTAAAAATCAGCGACCTCCACTGGCTGAGTAATATACGATATAAAGTGGGTCTCAGATTGTACAAGAAGCACTGCATTAAATTACACTTTTCCCCGCCATGTCTTTATAATATGAGCATTTATTTTGCCCCAGTGTATTCAATGGAGCTTCTGCACTAGCCTATTCTGACGGGCGAGTGCGAGTAAAAGACCTTTGTTCTCGTTTTACACTTGAACAACTAAATGAATGACAAAGTTTATTTAACTGAATGTTTTTAAATTACATTACACCATCGGTGCTGTAAAAGGAACCGTAAAAAATGGGAAAAAAATTCACAATAACCGGTCACCGGAAGTTTATCAGTATGGGAACCACACTGGCTCGGCATATACTCTATTAACCTAGTTTAGCCTTTAAATGTCACTTTAAGCTGTATAGAAGTGTTTTGAAAAATATCTAGTCAAATATTATTTATTTTCATCATGGCAAAGATAAAATAAATCAGTTATTAGAGATGAGTTATTAAAACTATTATGTTTAGAAATGTGTTGAGAAAATCTTCTTTCCATAACAGAGAAATTGGGGTAAAAATATACCGGGGGGCTAATAATTTAGGAGGGCTAATAATTCTGACTTCAATTGTATATATACAAGGCAATTGCTGTTTTACTTTAAAAGAATACTTATTTTTATAATGCTAACATGTGTTGAGTTCGATCAAATGCAAAAGAAAAAATTAAATAAACTGAACCAAAAAGTGTAAGAAATTAGAGTTGTATACATTTTTTTATACAAAAGTAATGCATTCTATTATTTTTTTTATAAGGATATGTTCATTTTTAAAGTGTCTATAATACTTAAGCTTATCTTTTCGATCATTTCATTTGTTATATAAACTATTTATTGAATTATGTTATAACACTTTATTTTTTTTATTATAAGAAATAGTAAATGCTTTCCATTTCAGTCCCTTTTGGAAATTATTGATTCTTTTAAGTTCTAATGAGTTGACAGTTCTAATAATTAATAATAATAATAATAATAAACTCAGCATTGGGTTTGCAGTGGGTAGCACAATTGTCTCACAGCAAGAAGGTCGCTGGTTTAAGTCCTTATTTTTCTTTTCTTCTATGATTACTGACATGTGCAGGAACCAACAAATTAATTACAGCAACCAAGACCACACAGAACCTAAAGGTACCCTTTTAAATTTGAGTTCACAAAAAAAAGCACCTCTTTTTTGGAGGGGTTTATAACAAAACAGACAACATATACAATTATTTTAATCACTTATTCTAATCACAAGTTTTATGAACATTCAATACCAAACCTTTGCATTTACATGCATGTGGATTTGGTAAGCTTTTTAATTTGGCTAGGCAAAATTCAGGCGTAAACCCCAAAATAGCACTCGACTTTATTAAAATGAATGTGTGATTTTAGTTTTTAAAGTTATTCTTGTGCAAATAAATAAATATTTTTATCTACCTAATAAAGAGCCATGCCCACTATTATTAATATATACCTATTATAATACTTCATTCTTTTAATAATTGAATGCTTTCCATTTCAGTCCCTTTTGGAAAATCCTGAAATCAGATGCTTTGTTTTTAAAAACAGATGCTTAATTCTTGTTAATGTGTCAGTAATGCTGATAAATTAAAGATGATAAAAATAAAAAAGAGAAAAAAAATAGTGTATATATTAAAAAATAAAACAAGTATACATTGGTAACCATGGTTTCTTATTTAGTTCACCTGTTCCTTGTTAACACTTCAGGTTTTGTCTTTTTAAGTGTGATTCCTTCTTCAAAAGATTAAAGAAAATTCCTGCATCATTCTATTGAAATTCTTCCTCATTTGTGACAAAATGCAATAAAGTTAAACACTGTTGTAGTATCTGGTATGTTTGTACACCCAAACAAGAGTGCCAGAGTTTAGAAAGCAGGATGTACAGAAACAAAATTGTGTTTTGTGTGTGTTTGGAGGTGTTTTCTCTTACCGTGGGCTCGTGCCCGGCTGGACAGACCGGACACACACAGCCGTCCTCCCACCGACACTGCGTCGCTAATGTCCCCCATAACTCCAGCAGCTAAAAAAACACAGAAAACACTAAATCAACACCTGAACTGATGGCTAAGGCAAGGCAAGTTTTTTTTCTATAGCACATTTCATACACAGTGGCAATTCAAAGTGCTTTAAACAGGAGTAAAAGAGACAAGTATAAGAAAAGAAAAACTAATAATAAAAGTGATTAAAAAGAGATCAAAATGTGTTAAACAGGTTATAAAAGAATGAAAAACAAAAAGAAAGACATAACAGTGAAATCTGTGGGAGTCCATTACAGTAATCCACCCTGCTGCTGATAAAAGCATGAACAAGTTTCTCTAACTTTATTTATATTTATTTATAACTTTAATTTATCACATCTCTCTGCATTGTCATTTTTCATATATTGTGCAGCCCTTATATTATATTTCCATTTTCTTAGTTAGGAATATTTAGGTCAGATGACCTGCTGGATGAACTGTAATGTAAAATAGTTGGTAAAACGCAGAAAGGTAAAGTGCACTTTAAAGCAAGACAAATTAGTTAGGTAAAATTGACTGATATACCCTAAACAAAGTAGTTTTCTTTTAAGGGTAAAAAAAAGGTTGACATTTTTACGTATGGATATCTGACCTAAATAGTCTGAACTGTTGGCAGTTCATTCCTCTGTGGCGACCTCTGAAATAGAGACTAAGCTGAAGGAAAATGAATGATTGAATGCATATAGGTTGTTTAATCAAGTTTGACCAATCACTTACTATTAATTAAACTCGCCTCCCATGTAGGTGCTTTTCTGCTATTGGCTACAGCAATCCAACTGTGAATCTAGATATTAAAATAAATACTAATGGACAAGACTGGAACATAGTGTCTAAACATTTTTTGTTCAATTAGCCTGAATAAGATTTAAAAAAAAAAAAAAAAATATATATATATATATATATATATATATATATATATATATATATATATATATATATATATATATATATATATATATATATATAATTTTTATGACCACTATATACATCAATTGTTTCAAATTATAGCTAATAAAAATTATAATTTTCAAAAAATTAATTTAATTTCATCTAAAATTAGCATTTTTTTCTATGCTCCTGTGTGTATATTCAGTTATATCACTTTTATGGCAAAGACTAAGTCACTTTTCTGGTCTTTAAAGTGAAATAACTCAACATAAACAAAGGAGGCTGAGAGAAATTTTCATTTTGCAATTGAACTTTCATTTTTTGATTAAATGCGAATAAGGCATTATCTTATAATAATCTGTACGTGGGACAAATCAAAACATTTTGGAAATCTCTTTTAATCACTCTAAGAATATCAAATCGATTATTTATTTATTTTTAGTAACTATAATTAGCCCTAAGAGAAGGGGAATAAAACTTGATGCCCATAAATGCAACCAAAGTGGAGATTCCAGACTCATTCATTCATTTTCCTTCAGCTTGGTCTCTTTATTCCTTAAAGGTTGCCACAACGGAATGAACCGCCAACTATTCAAGCATATGTTTAATACAACAGGCCTTTTCTGCTGCAACCCAGTACTGGCAAACACACACACACACACACACACACACACACACACACACACACACACCTGGAGGAAACCCATGCCAACATGGGGAGAACATGCAAACTCCACACAGAAATGCCAACTGGAACAGCCCGGACTCGAACCAGCGAGCTACCCACTGAGCCACCGTGTTGCCATACTCTTTTTTTTGAGAAACTGAATTAAAAAGATAATAAAGTACTGGAAATTTACTTATACAAATAGATAAAATATAATAAAATAAACAATATTAAATCCATATTTTGCACACTTTCTCATAATATGACACGCAAGAGATAATGGAAACAAAATCTGAAAAATATCCAGTGCATGAAGAACAGCAGGTTTGCCAGTATTCTCTTGCAGCATTGTTAATGTCCCAGATTGTAGCCACTCATTGTATTGTGTGTTACAGAATGAACTGTTCTTTACTGGCTGCATCACAGGTGAAGGAGTGAAAGAAAGAACATTTAGAAAAGGGAGAGGAGAGACACAGAGTACACACACACACACACACACACACACACACACACACACACACACACACACACACACACACACACACACACACACACACACACACTTACGATCAGACAGACAGGAGCTGAGCAGTAAAGGTGGTTCTTCATCTTCTTCAAAATATTCTTCTATATTCATGTAACCTGAAAAAGACACAACAGGAGCTCAATGACACACACACACACAGTAAATATAACATCGTCAGCGTCAGCACAAACCACCAAAACCAGGTAAACAGCACTTGGACTCTCCTGTGATGGACACAGTGGGTTTGTACGCATACAGAAGTCATCTATAAGGTAAAGCATGGTATAAATAGTCGGCAGAACTAAAGCAGGCCTGTGGTTTGGGGCAGCACTGCTTTTCTTGGACTATTTTTAGAGCACATATGCCCAGTCAAGCCAAAAACCACTTACTGCATGTGCTGATGATCACATACTGGACTATATCATCAGACTCCTCTCATACTGTGCAATATTCATGATTTACAGCAGACTAGATTAATAAGTTTATGATGATAGTTTTCACTTCTTAAACCAGTAACTGGCTGAAAAAAAGATTAAAAAGAGATCTCTAAATACGCTTCATTGTAAAATATACTTTGCTTTGCTTCAAATGATCTGAATCACGAATACTTTACAGCTCTGAATCAGTTTTATTTTAGTTTACATCATTAGTTTGAAGAAGTTTTTTTAGTTTTAAAGTTTTAAATGGTGTTATTTAATATTTTTTTTATTTGTTATTGTTCAACATGGCTATAATGTTTACATAAAAAGCTGTACTGAATAATAAGGACCTTAAGACTATTTCAAAATAATGGTATTTTTTGATACCATTGATGATTTATGCTATTTTGATTGCACATAAAGTTTTAGCTAAATAATATCTGTTATCTATTATACTCACACTACACTCTCAGAAATAAAGATACACGAGCTGTCACTATGGAGGTACCTTTTTAAAAGGTACAAATTTGTACCTAAAATGTCCATATTAATACCTCAAGGGTACATGTTAGTACCTAAAAAGTACAAAAGTTTTCCTCTTAAAATTAGGTACTAATACATACTTTTAAGGTACCAAAATGGACCCTTCATGGACAATTGTGTACCTTTTGAAAAGGTACCACCCCAGAGACAGCTTGTGTACCAGTTTGTATCAGTATATCAGTTTTTTCTTCATGTTTTTTAAAGAAAAGTATTGTTCATCAAGGCATCATTTATTACATGTAATAAAAAAAGAAAGTTAAAGTGTTAAATATTTATTACATTTCTAAATAACTGCATTCTTATTGTTTGCATTTTTAAATTAATTTATTACTTCAATCATTATTGTTTTATTACTATTACCATCAATAATAATAATAATAATAATAATAATAATAATTCTATTTAGAGTGACTTCTGAAGGACCATGTGACACTGAATACTGGAGTAATGAAGCTGAAAATTCAATAACATTTCACAATTTTACAATATGTATTGTATTTTTGATTAAATAAATGCAGCCTCTGTGAACAGGAGAAGCTTATTTTAAAACATTGAAAAATCTTACTGACCCTAAACTTTTGACCGGTAGTTAAAGTCAGAATTATTTGTGCCCCCCTTTGGAATTTTTATACTTTTTAAATATTTCTTAATTGATGTTTATCAGAAATTTTTACAGTATGTCTAATAATATTTTGTTTTTATTTGTTTTATTTAGGCTAAAATAAAAGCAATTATTTTTTTAGAAACTATTTTAAGGTCAAAATGATTAGCCCCTTTAAGTATTTTTTTTTTCAGACTGTCTTCAGAACAAACCATTGTTATAAAATAACTTGCCTAATTACCCTAACCAGTTAACCTAATTAAGACTTCAAATGTCACTTTAAGCTGTATAGAAGGGTCTTGAAAAATATCTAGTCAAATATTATTTACTGTCATCATGTCAAAGATAAAATAAATCAGTTATTAGAGATGAGTTATTAAAACTATTATGATTAGAAATGTGTTGAAAACATCTCTCCGTTAAACAAAAATTGGGGAATAAATAAACAGGGGGCTAATAATTCTGACTTCAACTGTATTTTAATGATCAGACACTACTATTTATTTTATTTCACCAAAAGAAATTACAATTTAAGTTGGTCAAACTAAAACAACTTATTTTTTATGATATGATAACTATTGAACTATTTCAGATGATCATGAGCTTTAAAGGAACAATTTGTACTCGTTTTATTAATAGAGAATTCTGAAGGCATAAGAACTTCTAACATTTCCTTTAACCCTTCAACACAACACAGTTCAATTTAAATATTCGCATTCATTGCACTACATTGCACTAATTCATCTTGAATTGTAGATATCCACTGCAAATGTTGTAATGACATTCATATATATCTGCAATTCTGCATGTCTCTAAATATTGATAACAACCTCTACATATATTCATCATTTGAAAATCTCAGATCATAGTCAATACAACCTGTATATAATGTTCATAGTACTTCCATCTGTAAACACCACCATGGTTTTTCTATAATTGCACTAGCTGCTATTGCACTTCTGGTTAGAACTAAACTGCATTTAGTTGCCTTGTACTTGTACACGTGTAATGACAATAAAGTTGAATCAAATCTAATCTAATCATTATTTCAAATATCTATGCTTTACATTTATGCCAAAACTTCATACGATATTAACACATTCAGAGTTTTCATTAAATTTAAATATATTAAAGCACAGCCAAGATCACAACTTACATCATAAGACATAAATAGTGTGAAAAATCACCCAAAAATTATACAAAAATTCACCAACTCTTCTAAAATACTAAAATAATCGCAAAATAAATAGCATAATCTCTGCTTTTAACACACACTGACACTAATAACCTGACTCACCCCAGACTGCCGCTGCTGTTGTGTTGCTGTAGTAACAGCTGAGGATGCTCTGCTCACTCTCTGACTGTACCTGCCTGCATTACACTGTTACTCCTTATACTGCCACTCAAAACCACAGCTCTGCCCACCACCCAGACAGGCTCCTCCCCTTTCACCACAACCCTCCAATCACATGATTTACACATTGTGGTGGTGTCCTTTCATTTTTTTAAAGCAACTCAAGTTAAACCCAAGTGAAGGATATAAAAGTTGATGAATAAAACACAATAGCTGAGCTCAGACAGCACGTGTGTGTGTGACATTTTAGCCCACGCTGCTTTATACCATTGATTTGGGTGCATGACTAGAGCGAAAGTTTATTATCTACACTACACATGTCTACTAATAGTGAAAGTGATTGTAGCAAGAAGACAAAATCACTGGATATTAGAATTAAACAGTTTCCTGTATCAGTTTCTTTTATGATTGTCAGGATGTACTGGAAAACATCCATACACATTCATACACTACGGCCAATTTAGCTTACCCAATTCACTATAGCGCATGTGTTTGGACTGTGGGAGAAACTGGAGCACTCTGTGAGGTGATTCATCTAAACATAAAGCAATCATGAGACACTATATGTCATTTGAAAGCTAAGAATTTCTAGTGTCCAAATCTGCTGACTGATTATAGATATTACAGAGCAACAGCAATTTATTAATTTGCAACTAGGATGCTCAACAGAGTTGTAAATTAATACTTTGCTACAGCAATCCACATGTAAAAATGTATAAGATGTATTTTAGAGGCTAAATACCACCAAACTGCGAATTCTGCTTTAGAATTTGATGTCTATTTACTAAATATTGTTAAAAGTATATAAAAAATATGGTTCACATTCCTCGATGGTCATGAATGGAAACTGTATATCAACTGGTGATGATTTTTGGTACTGCAGCCAAACAAAATGTTATTGAAAGCTCTTTTTCTTGAGATATCAACTTCAAATTTGGAACATAATTTGTTCAGATATTTAGTTTAGATTTTTTGTCAAATGAGGGCTAAACCCAGTTTTGTAGGAAACAATAAATTATAAAATAAACAACTTTTAAAACTTATTTTACTTTAGCTAGTGTCTTTTTTTTAAAAATGAGACCAAGCTTAAATATCTGCACCAAAGGGTTGAAGATTGGAAATCCTTTAAATTGAACTAGGGTTGTCTCGATACTGGAATTCCATACCAACAGGTACTGAAAGTTTAAAAATGACCATTTCCCGCTAACATTTGATCAATGTTGAGCACGTGACCTCTATGGCATATCAGGGATGTTTAATGCTCAACATTGCTCAATTGTTAGCTGGAAAACTAATCAGAAATGATTACTCACCACTGTTTACTGACACAGGAGCATTTTAGAGCCTCGATTCATCAGCACATGAACACAATAGCAAATCTGCGCTGTGCTCCAAATGTTCGCAAGAAATGGGCACTTTTAAAACTCCAGTACCAATTGGCATCAAATTTCAGTTGAGACAACCCTAAATTGAACATGTCATTTTTATATCTATGTTCAAAAAAAGTGGGGGTGACGTTTGAGGGGTTAAAAAATGTTTTCTTCAACACCAGATGAAGAATATTGGTAACCAAACAGTTGATGGTATCCATTGGCTTTCATAATAGGGAATTAAAACAACTATGGAAGTCTATGAGCGCGGTTAAAGGTGTTTTTATTTTTATTATGAACAGTTTTTAATTTATTTTATCTCTTTAAAAACATATATATTTACTCCATTTCTTTCCCATGTAACATTGCAAATGGGACCTAGAATTGATATATTTAATATTTATTTGAAAAAAAAAAATAATAATAAAAAAAAATTATATATATATATATATATATATATATATATATATATATATATATATATATATATATATATATACATTTATTTATTTTTTTAGAAATATGAAGTTTTCTAGGGGCGAAGTAGTGGTGCAGTAGGTAGTGCTGTCGCCTCACAGCAAGAAGGTCGCTGGTTCGAGCCTTGCCTCAGTTGGCATTTCTGTGTGGAGTTTGCATGTTCTCCCTGCGTTCGCATGGGTTTCCTTCGGGTGCTCTGGTTTCCCCCACAGTCCAAAGACATGTGGTTCAGGTAGCGTAAAAACTTGCTGGATAGGTTGGCGGTTCATTGAGCTGTGGCGACCCCCGGATTAATAAAGGGACTAAGCCGACAAGAAAATGAATGAATGAAGTATCTACTATTTATGCTCTG